GAAGTTGTGAGAGCTTCATCCCTGGAGGCTTTCAAGAACTGCCATTTGTCAGAAATGGTGTAGAATCTCCTGCTTGGGTTGAGGGGGTTGGACTAGATGACCTACAAGGTCCCTTCCAACTCTGTTAATCTGTTAATCTAGGAGAGTTGCCCTCATTTGCTCGGTTTGCTTACTTCAGGGAGACTCAGGTCTAACCGCCATCCCATGAGCAGACGTTCATATTATTAACTTCTTAAGTTTTCTTTTCCTGCTTACGTAAATCCCCTATTTGTTTTGCATTCGACATTTCAGCCTTTCACCATAAATTACTACGGCCTCCTGCTATTACCCACTGCCAGCATCACATTCACATCTGGGCACGGCCCCCACGGCACCGAAACCGCCATTCATCTGTGGTGGTGAAAAGCAGGTGCACGGAAGGGGCCCGACCCAGAGGAAGAAAGGATCCCGTTCTTCATACAGAGATAGTTAAATTTGGAAGCCACAAATCGTGGTCACCAACATGGCCCGGAGCAGCAGGCCCAAACAACGCTTTTGCTTCCAATTCAGACCATCGCTCTTGGGGCCAACGGAGTCTCCAAAGCTGCCAGCTAAATTAGAAATAACTTTAAAGCCATTTCCTGCCTGAGAAAAAATCGCCCGCCTGCCTTGCACAACAGCAGCTGCTGCTCACGTGAAAATGGCAGCAAGATTAAATTGGTATTTTTTTTTTAATATTTTTTGTTCCGACAGCTTTTTCTCGACTATCTACAGAAACCCTATTTCTCAAGGGAGAGATGCAACTTTTAACTGATTGCTTAAGATGTCGTTTCCCGCCGGAAACAAAACCCCGAGCAAGTTTTCCTCCATGTGAAACCCTCCACAGGTGTCGGACCACAAATCCCATCGTGCCCAGCCAATAGCCTTCCTCACAAACACATGCTCTCCAGTCTACTCATCCCTGGAGAAGCAGACTGGGGAAATAACCTCCCGATAATCGATTCCCCAGCAAAAGTGGATCTTCCCTTCCTTTCACGCCCTCTGCAGACTTTAAACCAGTGGTGAAATCCACATTTTTTTACTACCGGTTCTGTGGGCGTGGCTTGGTGGGCGTGGCAGGGGAAGGATACTGCAAAACCCCCATTCCCACCCCACTCCTGGGGGAAGGATACTGCAAAATCCCCATTCCCATCCCATTCTGGGGCCAGCCAGAGGTGGTATTTGCCGGTTCACTTTTTTGCATGGCTGTTGTAACTTTAAGCGGTCATTAAATGAACTGTCGTTCGTTTTAGCTCAACCCGCATTCCATATTTGCTTTATTAATTTAGATCCACTCTTCCTTCCACTCTATAACTCTGCAGACACAGAAGACGATTCCGTGAAAATGATCCTAGGTTTTTTTGCAAAGGGAGTGGGAGGGGGGGAAAAAAAGGCAAGATAACAGTCGCAAAACCCCGCCCCCTTGTAGGCGTGGCTGGGATCACATGTTCACACAGCGGCCATCTTGACTTTTTTTTTTTTAATCCGTCCTACAGACCCTGCTGCTAATCTATCTTGGAAAAGAGCAAGAAGGAAAAACTTGGAAGATAAAACTGGAAAAGGATTTTTGCGGACTCCAAAGCATTTCAGGACAAAATCAGGCTGATCTCTGGACCGAAGGGCCAAATAACTAGTTAAATATTTTCCAATAATTAGCCAGTAAACACCCACTGATATCACTCTAGGTCAAATATTGTCAGAGTCGTCCAGAACACAGTGTGGTCAACTGAAGAACTGGCTTGCTGCCAACTTCACTTTCCGAACCAAGAAAGAGGCTTGAAAAAGATAACTTAAAAATGAGGCGTTTGTTGTGTTTTTGACTGTTTTTGCTTTGTTCTGCCTTTGTTCAATAAATATTTAGCAACTACAGAATGGCCTGGATTATCCCTGAACAAAACCAAACGACAGAACTTGTTTAATTGTTGCATTTATCAAAACCTTCCCTAGCACCGTGTGAAGTTATAATTTATGATTTTAAAAAACTCCACTCTTCCCCAAAATCGTTTAACCAATTTGCTTTTGTCATCAGCATAAATATTAACACTTCGGAACACTAAATTCCCTTCGTTTGGTTTGGATCACGCTCAAGCCTTCTCGATTCCCAGGGTCGTAAAATAAAATCCCATTTACTCCATCTTTCCATTTAGTCCCATGCCAAGAATGGGAGGAAGCGAAGTCGAACAGATCTACTTTGTTTTCAATAACTTCTCGAGGAGAGACAACGGAAACCATGTGCGAAGCGGGGCTGGAGACACAGGCCTTCGCCCAGAATGAACAAACATGGTATCTCTCCACTCAGGAATTTGGGATTGGAACCAGAAGAAGGTTTACAAATCCTTTCGGACTAAATCCAGAGTACTTCTGGCACCTCTTGCTCAAGTGTGTATGTATGTGTTTTTTTTTTTCCCTTTCTTTCTAATTTAAAGGAGGTACCGTTTCATTGTCCTTCCTGCTAAATCAACTAAAATTCTGGTTCCTAGAGATTTACTACGGGATTCTGAACTAACCTGATGATCGTTCTGATACCTAGCAATTTTCTGAGCCCATCGGGAGCTGCCAGATCTCCATCTGGACTCCGTTTGTATCAGTGGTGAAATCTATTTTTTTTTTTTACTACTGGTTCTGTTGGCGTGGCTTGGTGGGCATGGCAGGGGAAGGATACTGCAAAATCCCCATTCCCTCTCTACTCCTGGGAGAAGGATATTGCAAAATCTCCATTCCCTCCCCACTCCTGGGGGAAGGATACTGCAAAATCCCCATTCCCTCCCTATTCCTGGGGGAAGGATATTGCAAAATCTCCATTCCCTCTCCATTCCTGGGGGAAGGATACTGCAAAATCTCCATTCCCTTCCCACTCCTGGAGGAAGGATATTGCAAAATCTCCATTCCCTCTCCATTCCTGGGGGAAGGATACTGCAAAATCTCCATTCCCTCTCCATTCCTGGGGGAAGGATATTGCAAAATCTCCATTTCCACCCCACTCCAGGGGAAGGATACTGCAAAATCTCCATTCCCTTCCCACTCCTGGAGGAAGGATATTGCAAAATCTCCATTCCCTCTCCACTCCTGGGGGAAGGATACTGCAAAATCTCCATTTCCACCCCACTCTGGGACCAGCCAGAGGTGATATTTCCCAGTTCTCCAAACTGCTCAAAATTTCCGCCACCAGTTCGCCAGAACCTGCTGGATTTCACCCCTGGTTTGTATGCAAAGCCTTTCCTTTCTTTCATGATCAGCAATGGCTCAGGCCACATGGGGGATTCTGGGAGTTGAAGTCCACAAGTCTTAAAGTTGCCAAGTTTGGAGGCCCCAGTTCTACACAATTCCTATATCCCTTATGCTTAACAATGGGGATGTGCAAGCTGTTTGCCTCCTTTTCTGCAACAGATGTAAGCCGGGGAGGCATTTCCTGATGCAGCAGTTCAAAGCTTCCTGAATATTAGAAGGGTCTGTGAGTAAGATGTTGTTGAAACAACTTAAGGAAACAGAAAAGCAGCAGTTTGAACCAGCAGTAATTCCCCCAATTCAAGAGGCCTTCGGAGTTTGGAAATAAATTTGCAAATTGGTTAAGGAACTATAACAATCTTCCCCGATCGGGAATCTCGCAGATGTGCTGCATCTTAATTGGAAATTCCCCATATTCCGTGCCGAAGATCTGATCTTTTGATTGATACTTTCAATATTCAGAGATGGAGCAAGTTAATAATATAAAGAGTGGCGAACAAAGATATAATAATATAAAGACTGAAGAACAGAGGTCTTCAAACTTGGCAGCTTTAAGACTTGTGGATTTCAACTCCTGGAATTCTCCAGCCAGCTATGCTGCCAAGTTTGAAGACCTCTGTTCTAGAAGGTAACTTGGTGAAATACAAGGCTGCAGATCAGCTGCCCGCAAAACACAACAGTTATCGAGGTAAAACTCCAGCAAAACAAACATTTCCAATTTTTTTTAACCCAACTATTTTAAAGCAAAACCAGAAGATGAAGCCTTAAGAGAAACAACAGCTAGTACAGGTAGTCCTCGACTTACGACCACAAGTGAGTCCAACGTTTCTGTTCTTTAGTGAAACATTTGTTAAGTGAGTTTTGCCCCATTTTATTTATTTATTTATTTATTTATTTATTTATTTATTTATTTATTTATTTATTTATTTATTTATTTATTTATTTATTTATTTATTATTAGATTTATATACCGCCCTACTCCCGAAGGACTCAGGGCGGTGAACAGGCACAGAATAAAATACATAGATACAAAAGTTAGAAACATCATTAAAACCAGATTAAATAATTTAGCCCGAGACAATTAAAAATCCCAATCATTTAAAACAGATTAAAATTTCAATGTAAAAGAATTCAAAAGAAAAGGGGAGAAAATTAGGCCATAAACAAATAAATTTATTTATTTATTTAAATTTTTATACTCCCCTTCTCCCGTTGTTAAGTGAATAGGTTAGTAATCCGGTTGTTAAGTGAATCTGGCTTCCCCACTGACTTTGCTTGCCGGATGGTCGCAAAAGGGGACGGCACGGCCCCAAGACAGACGTTAAGTATGAAGCAGTTGTCTGAATTGTGATCACATGATCGTGGGAACGCTGCAAAGGTCATAACTGTGAAACACGGCCGTAAGTCCCCTTTTTTCGGTGCCGTTGTAACTTTGAACGGTCACTAAACACGAAAGTGTTGTAAGTCGAGAACCACCTGCCTAGCATCAGAAGGAAACTTCTACCTTTGGGTCAAAAATCGAATGGAAATAGAACAAATTAGGAGGGAAATAAATACAGGACGCCTGAAGTTATTATCAAGTACCGCCATGCCTAGCGTCCTGTTGCTGCTGCTCTCCATTCGTTCACGACTACAACTCCTGTTTGTTCATTTAACAACAACCCACAGGAAGGAAGGAAGGAAGGAAGGAAGGAAGGAAGGAAGGAAGGAAGGAAGGAAGGAAGGAAGGAAGGAAGGAGGGTCTTTACGCATTTCACCTGCAAGGCTCCTGTGGAAATACAAGGCTCCCAGTGCGCTCCAAATGATTCTTGCACCACCAGCGTGGACGGGTGTCTGCAAGAGGAAGTGACACCACCACGTCTTACTTACTACCCCCCGACAGCCAGTGCGAGAAAGGCAAGCCTTGCAGTTGCCCGCCAGTGCCAGCCCAGCTTCCTCTTTTCCCCTTCCTTCCTTCCCCCACACTTCTTGGGGCTCCTCCTGAGATCAGCAAACTTGACCAAGAGCCCAATCGGGGAAGGTCTAAAAAATCCAATTTTTTTTTACTACTGGTTCTGTGGGTGTGGCTTGGTGGGGGTGGTGTGGCTTGATGGGCATGGCAGGGGAAGGATACTGCAAAATCCCCATTCCCTCCCCTCCTGGGGCCAGCCAGAGGTGATATTTGCAAATGTATTTATTTATTTTATTTATTATTCGAATTTCTATACCACCCTTCTCCTTTCGGACTCAGGGCGGTGAACAGCCAGAATAAAAAACATTTATACATAAGTACGATTAAAAAATAGATTTAAAATAATTAAATTTGGCCCATAGTTTAAAATTTATTTAAAATTTCCGCTACCGGTTCTCCAGAACCTGTCAGAACCTGCTGGATTTCACCCCTGGTCTAAATCTGGGCTTCCAAGGCAGCAAAAAATCCCTGGGGCAGAGGAGAGATTCAGGTCCACCAACCCCCCCAAAGAAAAGAGCCCCCCCCCCCTCTGTCCCCCCCCCCATCACCCCACCCTCCCCCTTTCTTGGCTGCTCAACTCAACTTCAGTTCGCACCACCTCTGAGCTCGCTTTTTCTTTTCAACAAGCCCAGATTCTTTTCTTTTCTTTCTTTTCTTTTTTTTTCCGCGAAAACCAAACGTCTGAACGCGTCCCTCGAAGCCGGAGTTCGCAAACCCGGGCAAAGTCGGGCCACTCTCCTCGGGAATCGCACCTCGGGGTCCCCCCCCCCCCCCCCCCCCCCCCCCCCGGAGCCCCCCCCCCCCAGGGAGAGAGATGGAAGAGTGGTACCCAAGTGGTACCCAGCTCGCGCTTGAGACTCTGCATCCCCCCAATTCTCCATCCCTGGCCTGGAGCCGACGGAGCGCTTCTCCGGGCTTCTGGGGAGGAAAGCGGGCGGGAAGACCCCCGGGGCTCCAACCACTAGACCCTCCGGGGCTCTCCGGGCAGCGGGGCGCTGTTGGAGCATCCTGGCCGGGTTCGGGGGCGCAGCGCAACCTTGGGGATGCCGCGGATCGGACGGGCAGGCGGGCAGGGGCGCAGGAGGTGGGCGGCCAACCGGCCTGGGGGTCTTGGGGGTCTTGGGGGGGCTCCTAGCACCGTCTCCCCCCCCTCCCCACTTCCAGCCCCTGGAGGATGCGCTCCCAAGCCCAGACAGAGCCAAGCGGTTACCGGGGAAGCGGAGGAACGGACGGTCCGGGCTGCAAGCCGCGATCCTTGGTCCTGCGCGGGCGGCGGCCGGGTCCGATCAAGCGGAGGATCGCCCCCTTCCCTCCCTCCTTCCCAGCCTCACGCCCCTCCCCTCCCCTCCCTCCCCTCCTCCGCCCAGCCTGCCAATAGCCGCGCCTGCCTTGCTCATTGGCGGTGGTGGCGCGGGCTGGGGGCGGTGGGGCTGCTGTTGGGGGGCTGGTCCCTGGTAAAGGAAGGGGGGCCACCAGCTCACTCCCCCTCCTCCATCAGGGCAGCCTCCCCCCCCCAAATACACCTCCCCCTCCGTTTTGGAAGAAAGGCAGCTTGAAGGAGAGGGAAGAGACCCTTTGCCTCCCCCTCCCCACTCCCGAGAAACTGGGCAGCCCCCTACCCCACTCCCCAGGTGCCATGGGGGGTGGGGGGGCAGAACTGGTAGGCTGGCATCTCCAGGAGGGTTGACCTCTTCCTCCTTTGGCTAAAGACCTCCAGGGCTCTTAGGGGGGGTTTCTTTCCCACCCACCCCTAGCAGTTTTGTTTTGGGGGAGGGGGCTTTGTGAGGTTTGACTGCTGGACCCCCTGCCTGGCTTGCACTTCCCTTGGCAAGATTTGGGAGATGCTTTGCCATTGGCTGCCCTGTGGCTGGAGAAAGAGGCTCAGAAAGGACCCCCACACATTCACACCCACAGCAGTCCTCACTTTGTAAAAGGTGGGAGGTCTGCCCTTTTGGATCTGTCCGGTTCTGTTAAGGTAGCTGTGCGATCACAGCTTAATTTTAATTTGCTTTTTAAAATGGGGTACTTTTTAATTAGTAATGGGCCAAATGGTTTAATACGTTTTAATTGTTTTTTTTTAATTTTATATTGTATGTGTTTTATCTGGGCTGTTCACCGCCCTGAGTCCTTCGGGAGAAGGGCGGTATATAAATCCAAATAAATATAAATATGTTTATGTTCATCACTAGCTCCTGGGCTGGTCCCCCTAGGGAAGCCAATCCTCAGTCTTGCAAGTTTAATCCAGTTTTTACTCAATTACTCGAGCCAATTTCAATTCCAACCCCCCAGTTCGTGCACTGGCACCGATCCACGGCATGCCAGAAATGGGGTGGTGCAAACAATCGAAGCCCCATCCGTGCGATGCAGGCAGCATGCAAAACCACGCCTGCTCCAGTCCACAAAAAAAAACCTCTTTCCACAGAACTGGTCCCCAGGGCCCAAAAGGTTGGGGGCTGCTGATTTATACACGCTGATCCACTTTACTTTACTTCAAATTTATATACCGCCCTTCTCCTTAGGGACTCAGGGCGGTGTACAGCCAAATAAAAAAACATAATAAATACATTAAGAACAGATTAAAAGAAAATATCTCAATTTGGCCCAAAGTTTAAAAAGACAAACAAATTTAAAATCATTGAAAAGATTTGTTAGGCCAGCCCGGCTTGCTGGAAAAGGAAAGTTTTAAGGGCACGGCGGAAGGCACTTATTTAGTTATTTAGCAAGTTTCTTTGTGTAACTCTGAGTGACGCACAACAGAGACGCTTAAAAACAAAATTATTTCAAGCCAATAAATGACAGGGATCGGCTTTGCACAGCACATCAGCTAAAATGTAGTTAAAAAAAAACCTAGGTAGGCGAAGAGGTGAAAGTTCTGTCATGGGACACCTGAGTTCAGGTGTTCTATTAGGCATGGAAACTCTGTCAGGGACTTGAAGCCAGTTGCTCTCTCTCCACCCGGCCTACTCCACACGGTTGTTGTGAAGGACGAAGGGAGGAAGAACTGCATAATGCTGCCTTTTGCTCGTGATGAAAAGGCAGGGTATACAGGCTTGACTTCGTTTAGTGACTGTTCAAAGTTACTGAAAAAAGTGACTTATGACCTTCTGCTCCAAAAGAACAAGAGTTCAAAATATCCCCAGGAAGGAGGAGATTTCTGTGCTCCTTTTTCTTCTCCGGGGTTCAAGTCGTGATGTGAATTTTGCACGTCTTGGAAACGGAGACGTGCATTTTTGTAAAACGTCCAGAAATCTTTCTCGGGCTTGCAGTCTGCCCTTGGTATCAAGTATCTAATTGCCTGCCACAAAAATCCTTTGCTTATTTTTTTCTTCCCACAGAAGGGTTGCTTTTCTGATTGTAATTAATTGTGCTTCCTCTGGGCCGCATAATATTAAATATTCACCTAACTCTATTTGGGCAAGTTTCTTCTATTGTCACGGCTTGCAAAGGGGCGAGCGAAATCATTATGACTTCTGAAAGGCAATTCGAAGCAGCTTCTTAGGAAGTCTCCCCAAGCCTTGCATAATTTATAGATGGACCTTCTCTGTGACAATCCGCATCTCCAAGGGTGCCTCCATCGTCACGATAACCGAATCCATGCACCGGCTGCTGGTTGTTCTCCTCTCCTCTTTCCTTCCATCCTTCCCACCACCGGAGCCTTCTCCAGAGAGCTGAGACTTCACACAAGGTGTCTAAAGCTGGACAATGCGAGCCTGATCGTCTGGGCCTCCAGGATGAAATCTGGGTTGATTTATTCAGGTTGATTTAGAATAGAATAAAATAACAGAGTTGGAAGGGACCTTGGAGGTCTTCTAGTCCAACCCCCTGCTTAGGCAGGAAACCCCACACCACTTCAGACAAATGATTATCCAACATCTTCTTAAAATCTTCCAGTGTTGGAGCATTCACAACTTCTGGAGGCAAGTTGTTCCACTGATTAATTGTTCTCACTGTCAGGAAATTTCTCCTTAGTTCTAAGTTGCTTCTCTCCTGGATTAGTTTCCACCCGTTGCTTCTTGTCCTACCCTCAGGGGCTTTGGAGAATAGCTTGACTCCCTCTTCTTTGGGGCAGCTCCTGAGATATTGGAACACTGCTATCGTGTCTCTCCTAGTCCTTCTTTTCATTAAACTAGACCTACTCAGTTCCTGCAACCGTTCTTCCTATGTTTTAGCCTCCAGTCCCCTAATCCTCTTTGTTGCTCTTCTCTGCACTCTTTCTAAAGTCTCCACATCTTTTTTACATCATTCGTGGTGACCATAACTGGATGCAGGATTCCACGTGTGGCCTTACTAAGGCATTATAAAGTGGTATTAACCCTTCATGTGACTCTGTTTATGCAGACTAGAACTGCGTTGGTTTTTTTGGCAACCGCTGCACACTTTATTCAGCTTGTTTCCTAGGCTGTCTACAACCTTCTCCGGAGTGTTTTTCAATACCAAAGTTTGAAAGCATCAACCTTCCCCCCTCATTTGGCTCCTTCAAAATCGCTTTGCTGTACCGCACACGTTTCTTAATGTTTATTTTCCTCTACTAAACTTTATTTCATCTTTCTCACGGACGTAACAAACTCTTCCACACATTAACAAAGTAGCAGAAACGCATCAATTTTTGCATCTTTTGACAATCATTTCTCACAACAGAATGTGCACATTTCCAATCCCTTTTTGAACAGATTTGTGCATCTTAAAATTTCTCCCTTGGTTCTCCGGTCTTTGGTAAACACTCTACCACAATAATAAACAAATGCATCTATTTGTTTTAGGGTTCGGCATTTTATTTATGTATAACCTGTGTTTATTTTTCCTGTGAGACAAAACCACTGCAGTCTTTCATTCATTAATATTCCACTCCATATTCTTCCTGGCATGATACGGACTTAACATTCAACGACAATTATTACTCAGGTTCTCAAAATTCATAAAAGGAAGAACAGCCCTCCAAACTGTGAACAAACATGCACCCCAAATTGTCAAGTTTCAACCCATTTTGCCAGCATAAATGGTCTTTTATAAATTGGCCTCATTTAAATTCCAACTCATTGGAATTCGCGAGTTGTCCACTTAAAACTTCTTTTCTGCTGCAGAGTTAAACCGAGGTTCTTATTCCATCCAGCGATTCTATGTTTCTAGTCTAGACTGAATGGAAGGGAGCGTGGCAATCAATCACCTGCCCTAATGGCATGTCGGAGCGACCTTGGAAGAGTTGCCGGGCAAACTCTTATCTCTGCTGTTGTGCTGCTTTGTATCATGACATTCTGGAAATTGGCCTCGGTACATCTGGCTGCGGCTGCTGTTGCAACAACACTGGCGCTTGATGGATAGGAGAGTCCCCTGGGGATTGGAGGCCGTTGCTAAAACTCCAAGGCTTGTGTGTGTATGTGTGTGTCTTCTGACTCTCTTTGGAAGAGAGTGGGAAACTTGTGAGATTCAAGCCAGCCTTGTGAGGTAGTCCAGGCAAGAGGCACACCCAGGTGTAATCACTGTATATTTTTTTTGCAAGGTTACATTGGAAGGCATGTCCATCTGGGTTCAGTTCCAAGTGGGGAGAAAGACCCTGGAAACATGGAGGCTGCTTGGAGGGATGCTTTAATGGCGGACAGGACCACATGGGTTTGAAGTCCTGAGTAGCTGACCGCATGGAGTGGAGAGTGAGTGCCATTTATTTATTTATTTATTTGTTGGGACTTGTATGCCACCCTATCTCCACAGGACTCGGGGCGGCTCACAACAATTAAAACAGGACAGACAAACCATTAAAACAGAAGTCCACGTTAAAATGAAGAAATTCAATAAAACCCAGATTAAAACCCCCATCAGTCCAAGGCGGCCAGGTGAAATAGCCAAGTTTTCAGCCCACGGCGGAAAGAACGAAGGTTGTGGGCCACCCGGAGCTCCAGAAGGAGTTGATTCCAAAGAGCGGGTGTGAAAGAAAGCTCTCTCCCTGGGGGTCGCCAGCTGACACTGTCTGGCCGACAGCACCCTCTCCTGGGCCTTGAACTTGAGCTTCCTGTTCCTGTGGCAAGGGCATGTCATGTGCTGCTCCTAGGAGCTTGTCTGAGATAAGTTTGGCCCAACTGCACTGGGCAACGCAACGAAGGGGCCCGGCCGAGCCATGTGGTGAGCTCCGCCGATAGACAATCCCACCATGTCCCAACCCCGTCACCCTGGGGCCGAGGTCCCCCGCCTCGTAGGCAGGCTGGCCCACTCCCAACGTGCACCAAATATCTACTGGGGGCAGGGAGCTGCCCCCTCCCCAAAAACATGCCCCTCCCTCGAATTTCCTCCTATATTTATCTACAAATACATTCAGCGAGCAAAGGGAGATGATCAGCCGTCTTTCTCTTACCCTCTGCTTACAACTGAATCATTCACCATTGCTTCGTTACTATGCCATTTACTCCTCGCCTGCTTGAACTGCATCATGTACCTCTTAAATTCAATTCCAGTATTTTATGTCGCACACCTGCTTTCTTATGCTTTCTCTAAATCAGCCGAAGGACAATTTCTCATACTTTAAAACTTTCAAAATTAAGGGGGGGAAAAAATAAAAATCTGTTCCGTTCGCCCCCTGCTGGGTACCGAGCGGCACTGCAGTTCCCAGGTTTGCTCTCCTAATTCTGCCAAATCCTTCCAGGTCGGCTTAACAAACCGATCCCTCTGTCGTTTTTGCGCTCCCTCTTGTTTCCTTTGCCTTTGAATGGGCAACAATAGCAGCACACCTGTGAAAGGAAGAACTATGCCAAGCCGTCCCATAAGTAAACTACACCCGTTTACACCTTCTCCAATGATCTCATTCGCACCTGCAGCCTGATCATTTTTCCAACGCTCTCCACAACATCCATTCTTCCCTTTCCGTTGTTTCTCACTTGGGTGTGCAAGTTTACAGGATTCCTTTCCACTCATCTCCACTCTTAAACAAGCCACGCACACACCAGGCCTTTGCAAATCTCTCAAAGAGAGACGTTCGGGCATTTTATTTATTTATTTATTTATTATATTTCTATACCGCCTTTCTCCCGTAGGACTCAAGGCGGTGTACAGTCAATTTTCCCCTTTCCGTTCTCATCGCTTTTGTTTTCAATTCCATTTCTCTCGGCCGGAGGTTCCTTGTTTTAACTCTCTGCAGCCGCTTTCAGAACCATTTTTAAAACTTCCCATCAAAATTGTTCTGCATTTTCTCTGCCTTTAAATTTTAACGCTTCCTCGCTCTCTTCGGACACATTCTTCGCGACTGTTTTCCTCACGATGCCCTTCATGCAATATTCATCTCTTGCCCTCTTTTTGCAGTATTTCTTCGCATCGCAGCCCTGCAAACATCTTTCTTCTCACTCCGACCACCACATTCGTCCTTATATCCTGCTCCATTCGTTCTCTTCAGAGATTAATCTTTCATCCAAATGCCTACCAAGATTCTCAGTCATCCAGGTCATGGTTGTCCCAAAGGTATTTTTTTCGAGAGGCAACTGGACTTCCATGGTTTCTCTTTGAAGACATTTTTTGCTGTCCCCAGCCTCTAGAAGCCTCTCTAGGAGTCTCTAGAAGCCTCTCTAGGAGTCTCTAGAGGCTGGGGACAACAAAAAACATCACTTCCTGTCCCACCAGGAGTCAGGAAATGGGCCCTTTCAGCCTCCGTAGGGCCTCCAAGGGAGTGGGAAAGGCTGTTTTCACCCTTCCCAGATGCATAGAGAGGATTTGGAGCCAGGTAAGAAAGAAAAACGGGCCTTCCCCACCCCTCCCAGGCCCTCCAGAGGCAGGAAACAGCCTGTTTCCCTACTTCTGGTGGGCCCAGAAGGCCCAAAAATCAGCTGGCTGGCCCGCGCATGCGCCCCAGAGCTGAGCTGGCGTGCCCACTAATATGGCTCTGCGTGCCACCTGTGGCACGCGTGCCATAGGTTCGCCATCACGGGTCTAGGGACTCACCTTGCAAACCAAGATACTAGTCCCTGTACTTCACTATTCAACAATTCATGTCAAATGCAAAACACATAACAGTCAGGCGCAAGGACAGCGGGATGGGTGCCGCTAAAACTCAATTATTATGTGTAAATGTGCAGCATATAACAGAGTCCCTGAAAAAGGGGGGCCGAAAAAGGGAAGGGGGTGAATTGGGTTGAGTTGAAGTAATGTATTTTCCAGCTGAGGAAACTCACATTTTGCACATGTTTAATTCAAGGTGATGGAGGAATCATTCAATTTGCACACACTCCAATCGCCACTGACCTATGAAGCAAAGGATGAGTGGGTGGGTGGGTGAGCTGCTATTTCTCAGTTTCTCTGCAAAAACGCTCAGAAATCAACTGTGCCAAGGCTTCCTGCGGGCTGAGATTTATCCAAGGGTAGCACATGATTCTGCAAATCCAACTCTCTGGGCCTCACAGCTTTGTTGTTCTTGGTTTGTTTGTTTTTTTGCTTTAATTTATATGCCGCCCTTCTCCGGAGACTCAGGGCGCCTTACAATGCGTTAAGCAATAGCCTTCATACTTTTGTATATTCATACAAAGTCAGTTTATTGCCCCCACAAACTGGGTCCTCATTTTACCTACCTTTGAAAGGATGGAAGGCTGAGTCGACCTTGAACCTGGCGAGATTCGAACCTGCAGTAACTGCAAGCAGCAGATGTTAATAACAGTGTGCTTTAGTCCACTGTACTACCAAGGCTTTTAATGGACTGACTTCTAGACCAGGGGTCTCCAACCTTGGCAACTTTAAGACTTGTGGACTTCAGCTCCCAGAATTCCTCAGCCAGCCACAGGAAGTGACTTTTTTGCTGTACCCAGCCTCCAGAGACTCCTAGAGAGGCTGGAGAAGACTGGCCTTCTCCAGATTTGATGGGGGCTGCAAAATTTCAGAACCCCCCAGATAAATTTTGGCAATTAGGGTGGAATTCTGGGAAGGAAGTCCCAACACATGGAGAGCGTGCCACGTTGGGAAGGCAACTGGAATTGCTGCGGCCTCTAGATGTACAGTAGCTGTCCAAGGTGCTGCAGTCAGAAGGTTATCTGGAAAGAATGTTTGCTCGGAGGAAATATTGCGGCCGAGAAATACCCAGGTCTAGGCCATGGATCTCCAAACTTGGCCACTTTTTAAGATTTGTGAACTTCAACTCCCAGAATCCCTCAGCCAGCAGGGTGTCTGAGGAATTCCAGAAGTCCACAAGTCTTCAAGTGGCCAAATTTGGAGACCTTCCCGGCTTAGGTCCTGCCGATGACTGCCAAGTAAATGGAATTGTTGTAACCATGTAATCAACTCAAGGATGACCTACTTAAAAACACACACAAACACACAAACACACACACAATTTGCCCCACTAGGTGGGGTTTCACACTCCTTTATCAAGTTATTGGCTGGTTTTGTCTTAATGCGTTATGTCAATCCATCTAACTGTGGTTTATTCAATACATAGCCATGCTTTAGCACTGTGCTACTGCTAAACATATTTATATAACATATTTATATTTATATACAGTACCAGCTGTCCATCTTTTGCTCAGGAAAAAACAATTTGCTTTTCAAATCTCTTTCGGAGGAACTTTTTACACTTTTTTATCGATCAGGAGTAGAAGCGTAGCCAACATCTCTTTTTCAGCCCTCTGAGTTGTCAGTACTGGGTGGGTCTAAAATGTTAAGGCTTGTCGGCAATTTTTTTTTTTCTCAGCAGTTTTGGGACAATAAGGCAACTGGTGGGCTCCAGTGTCGAGTTTTATGTACTTGCAAAATTATCACCACAATCCAGTTACAAAGTTGCATCTATGTCAACTTTTATTTATACCGAACAGCTTTTAAAAATACAGAATAAAATAGCTTTTATCTACTATTATTCACAACATCTGGTCCAAATATTACATATTTTTTAAATATTTTAACGTTTAATAAAGCAATTGTTAGGAAAAAAAAAAAACAGAACAAAACCCATAAAAATCTCAATAATAAAAGGACTACACATCTCCAAGAAAAAAACCCAACTTGGTATTTAACAGGAGATTGTGTAGCTAAGGTCATTCACAGAAAACTCATGAAAAGAGAGAGAGAGAGAGAGAGTCCCACTGTCTAAACAAACAGTTAAGAGTTTGTTACAGCAAAAGTTGTGATGAACAGGGGTTGGGGTGGGGTTGGGGAATGCACTCTAAGTTTCAATCAGCAGCAAGATGGTCTACTACTTGAACAGATGCTGGACGATAACACGAGGTCATTCCATTTTCGGCTACCAAATAGGTATGGATGACTAATCACAGCCACAAATGAAATCATAATAACCGAGCAGGAGTGCTTTGGATAGAGCTGGAGATGAATTCTCAATACTTCAAAGCAAGCCGGCCTGGCAATGGCGGAGACCGATGGGCAGAAGCAAAATACTGGCGGACTCCTCGCGGGGCAAAGGACGAAGGGACTGAACTGCAAAAGGCAAATCCCTTAATAGGTTGGCTAATCTCTGTCCAGCCTGGTTAAGAAGCTTCCCAGAGAGGTTCTCTAGAGCAGGGGTCTCCAAACTTGGCCAGTTTAAGCCTGGAGGACTTCAACTCCCAGAATTCTCCTGAAGTCCTCCAGGCTTAAAGTGGCCAAGGTTGGAGACCCCTGCTCTAGATAGGCAACAGGGACCATCACAAGCCCCCATTTTCTAAGACCACCTTCTGGAGGTTTTAAGGACTGGATATATTGTTCAAGGAGGCCACTGGGGGGAAAAAAAATCCCACACAAACAAAATAAGAAGCTCCTTTTGCGCTGGCTTATCTCGAAGCGTACACCCCGAGATGAACTGGGTCGCTTTGGAATGCAAACGCACATCGAATGGCAAGCGATGGTTATCCGCTTTACAGCTAAACGTTGGGGGTCCCCAACTACTTTGGGGTTTGGTTTAACCAGGCCTTGGAGTGGGAGTGGAATGCCAAGGATTTCACTTCCAAAATGGATTGGGGCCCGAGAACCAATTTTATTGAATGACAGTTAAAGGAAAGCTAATATCGATGGGAACTCCTCTGATTTTTATTTAATTCTTTTCTCCCCTGTGATTTTTGGAAGGGCTCTGGAGACCCTGGGACAAACACGACAGAGTATAGTTACTCTAGAAGTTTCTGAGCTTGGCCGAGCTTGTGGAAAGCTCTTTAAGACCAAGAAAGCCTCCTGGGGAAAAACGTCTGGGAGAGGTAAGAGTTACCTCTGAAAAAACGAACTCTCTGGGAGATCCTGATAGCTATTTAAAAATACGTTCAGGATGAACCAAATTTACACGCGGATGCGAACAGCCTAGCCACCAATTCAAGAGAGCCCATGAATACAAAATATTGTTTTTTAGCAGGTAAGATGGGTCAGTTTCTACCAAGGATCTAAACCAGGGTTTCTCACGAGACTTTTAAGACTTCAACTCCCAGATTTCCCCAGCCGGTATGCAGGATATACACTGCTCTAAACCAGGGGTCTCCAACCTTGGCAACTTTGTGGACTTCAACTCCCAGAATTCTGCTGGCTGAGGAATTCTGGGAGTTGAAGTCCACAAGTCTTAAAAGTTGCCAAGGTTGGAGACCCCTGGTCTAAACGACCCATTTCTGCTCTGAACGGGTCCCCGTTTCTTCCCCCTAGGAATGTAACCCACCGCTAACAGGGTGAAAGCAAAGGGGAGCTCAGAAACAACAGAAAAGGCCAAGGCCTCGAGGACCTGGGGTTGCCCAACATTTAAGCTGTAACATGGAAACAGCCTGACATTTATACCAGCATTAGTTAGAGAGAGATGATCGAAGCTTAAAGAGGGATCTGGGCCACCAGCAAGATGTTGATCTGTTTTGGTCTAACTGCTTAACCTTTGCATCTGCTTAACTTTTTTTTTTTTTTTAATTAATCAACAGAGTTGGCACAAGACATCTGGATACTTGAGGTGGGAAGTCCCCCAAATAAGATGGGGCTCATTAAGATGGGGTCCAATCCATTGGGCTGTGTTCCTAACACACGCCCCATGGACTCGATGGGAGCTGAGCTCACTCTCTCCAAATGAGGCCGGCTTATTAGGAGGACTCTGGCTGTTCCTGCTTGGCCAGGATTCTCTACCCTGAATGGGAGTCAGGTTCAAAAATAGCTACCTGAGATGGTCACACATGCTTTGTGTCTGGACCAGCTCTGGGCTCCAAAGTTTTTGTTGCAAGTCTTCTCTGGAGGACCTTGCCTCTTCTTTGAAGGACACTGTATAAACATGGGTAAACAAAGTATACACAATTGCTAGCAATTTTGTCAATGAAATAAATTCATCACATGACACTGTCATGACAATCATATATATATCACTCCCACCCAGGAAGTCAGGTAGTTATTATCCTGGGTGGAAATGTCACTTGTTGGATATTGGTTTTATTTGTTTTTTTTTTTTTGTTTTTTAAGCTTATGGAAACAAAAATACTGCAATGCTCATGTACAAAGTTGTCACGTTGAAAGTCAGTATTAAACGGTGTAAAACCAACTGTGAATTTAAAAACCATTTTTTTTCCCCCTGATACAGATTATTCTGATTAATACGTTTTTGTTACTCATGGATAAAATTAACAATTAAATATAAATTTAAGAGGCATCGTTTTATAAAACACATTCAAACATCTTTTCTTTTCAAAATACTTAATTTAACAACAAAAAAAGTCATCATATTTAAAAAAAAAACAAAGTTTTTCAAATTATTTTGTTCTGAATATTTGTCTTTACATCTTCGACGTGACATAGCAGTGTTCCTTAATATTTCTTTTAATTTAAATGAAATAAATTTCCCTTTCCCTTACATATTTCTCTGTACACAATATTCTCTCACTCCGACGGCTGAAAGCCAGATAGCTATGCACAAAGACACAATTTAAAGTGTCTAGCTTTTACTTTTTTTTCCAGCTAAAATACACAGACGCATTTTAAACCGCCCCCCCTCCCCTGCACCCACATCCCACCCCTCATTCCAAGGAATATTCATTGATTTCAGGCTCTCTCCTAAGTAAACGGATTTGGGCATTCCTGTCTTGACGCTTATGCTCTGCTTGAGACACAGCCCACCGAGAAGCAGCTCAGATCCATGCAACAAAGGAAAAGATGCAGGAAAAAAATCCTTCCCCAGGCTGAGATTCCTGCAGCCGCCTCCCCCTTTCATGGACAGGAGCCACTTCCAGCCACGTACTCCGCAATTCAGCTACCAACTCTCCCCAAAAGAGCTTACATTAAAAAAAAAAAAAAAATCAAACCAAGTTTCTTGAGGACTGACATTCGGTTTCTTTTCGTTCTTACAGCTGCAGAAACACTGAACCTCCTGGGAATTTGGGATCTCAGTGGCTTCAATATTATGGCCACGGAGCCCTTCCAAATCTTAAGGAAGGGAAGCTCCACGGCAGATGGACAGGCCCATTTCCTAGCTACTTTTGTAGGGTAAACAGAATGCCTTCTTACAGTAAAATCAGCTATTCAGGAGGGCCTGGCTTCCTTCCCTCAATGAATTTCATGATTGCATCGTTTACCAAATCAGATTAAGTCACTATAAATCATGTCCCTCACCTTGCAGCCCTGCTGACGCAGCTACTACAGCCGCATTAGGTAAGATTAAGATACCATTTCTAGGCATCAGCACCACATTCTGGATGAGGAAGCCTCAGGAAAGCAAGACCTTGTGTTTTGTAACAGGAGGAATGAATCTAACGGAGTTGCTCCTTCCTTGCTTCTGTCTAATGTACAAATAGGCACTCAGATCATCATTGCATCTGATTGGAATCGGGTAAACTAAGGTTTGCGGTGTGCCACAGTTGCTCAAAATACAGGTAACACACCAGCGGTAGCTGCATGTGTTATTTGCTACGCACTTTTACTCTTGGCTAAGCGTGTGGAAACAAATGTGCAAAGGTGAGAGATAGACAGCACTGTTTCACAGTCAGGGTCATTTGGGGTTTGCTTTAGCAAAGCATCAAAGCAGAAGAGAAAAAAAGAGAGAGAGAGAGAGAGACTAGGGGCCAAATCAGAATATATTACATTCTTCCAATATTCTGGCCGTACAACTTTCTTTTGCTTCTGTAATGCACCTAAACTGAAGGGGCTTTGGCATTTTACAATATTACAACCACCACCAAACACAGGGCAGGAGTTCTTTCTTTCTTTCCTTCCTTCCTTCCTTCCTTCCTTCCTTTCTTTTTCTTTCTTTGGTTCACCTAAATATAACGGGGGGAAACTAAACACACAGCTTGGTCCTTCTAAACCAGAGGTCTTCGAACTTGGCAGCTTTAAGACTTGTGGACTTCAACTCCCAGAATTCTTCAGCTAGCTATGCTGGTGTGAAGTTTTGGATGCAGTTAGAACTAATCCCACATAGATTTATGTTCCCCTATAACCCTGTCTCTCCCCCTCCTCTCTGGCCATGTCATAAATCACATTCTCCAATGAACCACTTTGGCTGGCCGTGAAATCCAACACCCTCCTTCTGATTGCGGTCAGGAAGAATGTATGGAATGCACTTCAGTTAGGGAAATCAATCAGCTCTATCAGTTCTCCCTCCCTCCTGCTCATGGCAATTTGAAAGCTTTGCAAGTTGACAGCTGGGAGTTAAAGTCCACAAGTCTTAAAGCTGCCACGTTTGGGGACCCCTGTTCTAAACTAATTCAAAACTTGGGGCTAAACTCAGTTGTGTTAACTCCTTACGTAAATATGCCCAGGATGGCAGCTTTGTAGTGGGATCGTAATGAAGCTTTTTTCGGAAAGAGGTGCAGATGAACGCAAGGGAATTTCCTGCAGAGGAAGGCCTTAGTGTCATATATCCCTCCAAGCCAAGGGAGGTCCTGTTTTCAAAGAACAGAGCATGAATTCTGATTTTAAAAAAAAAATAATTAAGAGAGGCCTTCTTGCAGGCTTGATTCTAAAGATGCAAAGTACCGAAAGCTCTCGAAGAAAGTATCAGAGGAAAGAAAAGCTCCTGGATGGGAACTAAAGAAATGGCAGGAAACGGCTACCCTCCACTGACCTCCAGTTTCTGTTCTGCACCCCTCAAGCCCCTGGTGCCCTTCGGACAGCCGCTTGGGCCTCCCCTCTACTAGCCATCCTTCAGCAGCCAACCAGCAACCACCTGCAGAATTTGCCATCAACCACAATGACATTCGTGAGCAGCTGGTCAGAGCGTACTGGCCTTAAAATCCCGTAATGCCTCTCTGACAAATCTTCCTGCAACTTTTTTTTTTTCCTTTTCCTTTTCTTAAAAAAAAAAGGGAACAATTTGGGTGCTACCTTTGGGGGGGGGAAGAGCAAGGAAAGCTAACTCACCTGTATCTACAAACTAAGCTGTTATAGTGAGAACATTAAATAGGAATAAATTCTTACAAGGGTTTCAACAGCTGCACAATATCCGAGCCAAGATCAGTTCAGGGGGGGAGGGGAAAAAAAAAACACCCCACAACACGAAGAGACTGAATGGGGCCCCACGGAGACACCCCGATACCCGTTAAAACTGTTTGGCAGACAGCAGTGCCATGCATAGCGTCTCTCCTCCCCTCGTAAGGGACCCTGGGTTCCATTTGGGGGAAAAAGAGCGTGGGAAAAGGCAATGCCACCTGCCTCTCGCTTTGGGGGGTTGACAAAAACGTCTGAAAATGGAGAGGCCTGGAGACAAAGGGACTGTTTTACAACTCAAGCGCTTAATAAATAGTATTATTATCGTACGAAACCAACTTGTACCGTAGGCGATGAATCTCTTAGTAAAGCTGCGAGGCATTTCAGTAGCAAGGCCCAAGAAGGGTCCCAGAGCACCCAAGAGTTGGGAGTGCCCACCGCATCCCAGGGGGAAAAAGGGGGGCTTGTGGAACCATCACAGGGCTGCCTCTCCGCACCCCAAAACCTTTTTAAGGGAATCAAACTTGTCGTGCTGTGCAGCCTCACTGCTGTCAGGGTAACGAAAAGCAACCTGATGGCAGCCCCCTCGGCCCCTTCTCCACCACAGGGAGCAGGTGGGTCCCTGGCTCTCTCTTCCTGCATTCAGGGCAAAGCCTCCACGATCCACTGGAGAACATTGAAAGTGCTGCTTGGTTTAAGAACCGGAGGGCGTGGCAGAGAAAAACAATCCCAACTTCCAAAGTTTTGAACAGGCGGCCGCAGTCCGAGACCAGCCAGCCAGATTTCACTCATCCGGAATCTTAATTTTTGTGCTGTAATACAGCTGGGAAGGGGAAAGTCAAAAAAGGGGGTGAAGTTTCCCTCTCCCACTGCCATGCACCCCTTTCTTCTGAGGCTTGCAATGTTCCTGCAACCTTCTAACTGGTCATGGGAGCAAATTCTGGCCGGTTGCCTCCCCCACCTACCCTGGAAATACCCCCACCCCCTCCCCGCCACTGGTCCTGATTTACCGTATTAGGCTCTGTGGCAACAGTTTATATACAGAATACCAATGACTTGTGCAGGGTTTGGGTTAAGGTGATGCAGGCTTAAAAATAAATGGAATGTAGAACCTGCAAACAGGATAAATTCGGCCTGCCTGAGGGCTGCTAGGTGCAGGCCATGGAACCATTTTATCGGGGTTGTTTCAAAAGGAAAAGCAGTTTTGCCCAATATAAAAGCATCTAATCCCCCAAGGATTCTTTTTTTTCTTCTTCTTCTTCTTCCGAATGCCCACAAAATATAACTGTAGAGAGACATTACAGATTGCTCTTGCCATCTACAATAGGGAAAGCTGCTTTTTTAAAAAAAAATAATAATAAAAATAAATCACCTGCCTCGGCTCTTAAGTTCCAGAATTTAAAAATGCAAATATACAAAATAATAATAAAAATAAAAATACAATACAATACAACACAGTAAAGTAGCCAGAAACTGCACAAAGGGTCTGTTACGACAGCTGGGAGACCGAGGTCCAGCCGGGGCTATACGGTGGCCTCCGAATCGTCCTCTGAAGCCCCGCAGTTGCTGCCTTTCCGGAAGCCTTTCCAGCTGTAGCCCAGGAAGGTGGGGCTGATGGGCAGGAAGCTGAAGCACCTGTACTTCTTGATGAACTCCATGCCGAAAGGCAAGTCGTAGCTTTCCAGGCCTTCCAGGGACTTCCCGCCCTTGCCTGAGCCCTTCTTCCATTTCCGGATGCCTCTTTCCTCGGGGCTGCCTTCGTTTTGCAAAAGGGAGGCAGAACAACAAGGTGTGAACAAGAAAGGAACAAGCTCGTTTGGGGGGGCTTCCTCCGCGCGTGGCTGAAATTGGGATTATTTTTGGGGTGGGTGGGAGATGAGCTGCTGGTCCTGCTTCCCACAATCATGTGCCAGCAGGGAGGTTTGCAAGAGGACTCTCCGCCCGGCTTTGGACGCCCCAGGCCCAAAGCAGAAGCAGGACCGAGAAGATGACCTTCTCTCCATGCAGCCCACAGGAAACCCCTCCTCCCCCCGAGCTGCCTGGTTGTTCCTTTCCCATAAAATAAGACAAAAATCCCCACCCCCCATCCCAGCGACAGGGTGGCAAAGGACCGTCACTGCTTTTGACATTTTATTTATTTATTTACTTACTTACTTACTTACTTACTTACTTACTTACTTACTTACTTATTTATTTATTTATTTATTTATTTATTTATTTATTTATTTTTAAATTTGTATACCGCCCTTCTCCCTGAGGACTCAGGGCAGTGAACAGCCAAGTAAAACCATAAACTACAAATATTAAAATACAATTAAAAAGATATATATAAATTTGGCCCCGTGATTAAAAACTTTGATGAATGACGTCCTGAGTGACACTGCTTTCTGTGTCATTCTGATGGAAGCCAAAAGACTCTTGTGGGTTTTATTTCTAATTTGTGCAATTCAAAGGGCGGCCCATCTCACAGCCGTTAAAAAAACAAAAAGGGGTGGCTGAACGAAGGGGACCCCCCCAGCAGTCCAGGTAAAACCCAGCCCAGTCAACGATGGTGATAACTTCCTCCCGGCTCCAACGGCAAAGCCCACTCCCATTCCTGGGAGCAGAGAAATGTCAAGGACCCCCCTGGGATGATCCCACCGCAGCCACCCCGGAAACACTTAAGACGGTTAGCTTCCTTAGGTAGCGAAGGACAACAGCTCTCCCGTTGCAATTCTATGGCTCCATAGAATGGGAGATTTTATGATGGCTTTATCCAGGGGTGAAATGCTCCCGGTTTGGACCGGATCGCCGTGGCGGGTGCTTCGGAGAACCAGTAGCAATCACAGCGGGAGGCTCTGCCCATCCGCCTGGTTGTTATTACTTCCTAGTTTTAACCAAGAAGTAATGTGTTTTGTACCCTCTGCACATGCGCAGAAGGTTTTGCTTTTTTGCTTTTAAAAGTAAAAAAAAAAAGACTCTGACGATCACAGCGCAATCATCAGAGCCTTTTTTTTAATCTTTTAAAAGCATTTTTTTTTTTAACAACCTATTTGGCTGAATAGGTTGTAAAAAAAAATGCTTTTAAAAGTAAAAAAAAAAAAAGATCGCACGCCACAGCTGATCACTTTCTTGCGCGCATTTTCTACTTCCCCCATGCCTCCTCTTGGTGTGCACTGCACACACGTGCGTGCACCTCGCATTTGGTGCGTGGTGCAAAGTGCACATGCGCAGCCAGCGAACCGGGAGTAAGCTGGCTCAGATTTCACCACTGGCTTTATCTTAATTGAATGTATTATGTCCCATAACAGGGGCCCCTAACCTCATGGCCCAGTATTGGACCACACAAGCAACGGGCAAGCATAGCCACGCAGGTTCCCTTCTACAAGCGCCACTTCAAAAAACAGTGAAATTTCAGTCGATATTTCATCGAAAGAAATGAAGGAATGTCATACAACCTCAGCTGTATGACATTCCTTCATTTCTTTCGATGAAATAGCAGAATATCCTGGTGGATGGAGACCCTCGCTAACGAGCGCTGATGACGGGGATGTTCTCCTTGAGCATGAGGGCCTCCTCAGGATGAAAGGGAAGCAGGGCAGAAAGAAAAGAGCACGCTGGGCGACCTACCTGGAATGGTGTTATCTAAAATAAACGCCACACAGCCACCAACGAACATAGCGGTAGTCAGCAAGACGTTGAGGACTTGATCAATGCTGTCGATTCCTGAAAGGGTAGAAGATGGGAAACGGCGTCTGTCAGAATCCGAACAGATGCAACATAGAGAGGAAGGCAAGCTGGGACAAGGTGCCAAGACGGAGAATGAGCAGCTCCATAGAAACACAAGGACATCCAGGTCCCTCCTGCCCAGCCCAAGTTGCAGAGCGTGGTTGAGTTCCTACAGAACTTCTCCCTATTGAAACGTTCAGTGCTGGAATCCACAGCTTGCCCAGTAGCAGCCATTGTCCCCACCGGTCAACGGTGAACCTCCTGCCGCTTAATTCCTCGCCTGCAAGGGGAAACGGTGGTATCTCCATTCGTCTACTTTGGGGAAGGGTGAGATCTCAGGGGAAAAGGAGATCTCACTTGAAAATCTTTCGGAAAGGTCAGAAGAGGGGAAGAGTTCTCTTCAACTGCTCAGGACAAGAGAGGTGGAAGCTTGGTTGCCCTCGCGGCTCTTGGATAATGATGGACTTCAGCCCATCTTTGACACTTAAGGTCTACTAACCAGCCAACCAACAGAATCAGCCAATAGAATGACCTAGAAGTTGGGGGAGAATTTCCCTTTCGCTGAAAATATCCTGAAGGATTGGACGAAGCCCCCAGCATCCTACTATTTCTCGGCAAGTCAAAGACTAAAAGCGTGGAAGGGCCCATGGAGTTGGTGTCCAGCCCTCCCTAGCATTCTTCTGCAGGGCTTATAAAATTGTGTTTTATCAAGATGACGGAGCTATTTCCCCAGTCAACTCAAGGTTGGTCTATTGAAAATGCTCCCTCTCTCTGCCCTCTGTTTGGCCTGTCCTTCTCTTGCTCGCACTGCTTCTCCTCGTGTCTTGGTTTTTGACTCTTTCTTGGTGTGTGACTGTTCCTCTCCCTCTTTTCTCACATCTGTGTTTTTGTTTTTTAGAGAGAGGGAGGGAGGGAGAGAGAGAGAGAGAGAAAGAGATGGAAAGTTGCCCGTAGGCTCTGGCCTCCTATGTTCAGATTCTTGAATGAACATGGGCAACCAGATTGGTCAGGTAATTATTAATTTGATTAGCTGTGACTTTTAAGCAGATGGCTAATTAACTGTCTAATTAATTAGAAAGATGCCTCTGTGAGGAATTTGGGAAAAAAAGAAGGCAATTTCTTATAGCCAAAACCAGTAGGCTGTATCAGATGTCTCAAGCATCTGGAGGATGACAACTTGAGAAAAGCTGGACTAAACCAGTTTTCCCTGCAGGTCAAACAGGATGAAAAACAGAAACTATTTCAATTTGGAAGACAGCCCAGATTTAAAACCTATTTTTTATTAAATGCGGTGCACAGGGAAGGAATTAGGGCTGATAAACTAGACTGAAGCTAAGCCAACTGGGGAGCCTTCCAGATCTTTGGAGCTCCAAAATCCTTAGCTGCAGAGAACACTGTTTGGGAAAGCTGCTTTAAGTAGACCGAGCCGATCTTAATCTGCATTTAAAAAGTTAATTAACTGATCGTCCCAGTTCCCTGGTGAACAGCTGCAGTCTAGGGGAGTGTTGTTTAACCTGGAAGATGCGTGGACTTCAATTCTCGGAATTCCACAGTCATCAAGATTGAAAAACATTGCTCTAGGGTGATAAGAGCGCAAGCTGAACTACTGGAAAAGTCTTTTCCCACATACCTTGTGTGAGTACATGATTCAGAATATTACTACAGGGACATCACAGGCCCAATTTTACAATCATTTTAAGCCATGGTCATTAAGCAAATCACAAAGTTGACTTTGCTTCTCAGAACCCAGCTGGAAAGGTTGGAAGTGGTGAACACATGACCTGGGACACTGCAATCAACCTAGTAATAACAATCACATGATCGTGGGGACACTGTGATGGTTGTAAGTGGGAGGACTGGGCCATAACTCATGGTCTTCAGTGTCTTCTAAATTTGAACGATTGCTAAGTGACTGGTTGTAAGCCAATTTCTTATTTTAATTGAAAGGTATTTGAGCATACATGAGTAGCTAAGAAGATATAGATATAGATTACGCTTACCTGTAAAAAGTGGGTTTTGCCGAAGATAACTTGGGAGCACCAGCCCAAAGAAGATAGAAAATCCAAGAACAAAAAGGTTCCGTGAAGAGTTCAGATCAATGAATTGCAGGTTTGAAAGTCCAACTGCAGTGATCATTCCTAAATAAGAAAGGGACAGGATTTCCAAATTATTCATATTTGTACAACAGCCTCCAAGTTATTTTAAAATATGGCCTTGAAAAATTGTCTGGCTACTTGGAAAATGGGAATCATAACACAACGTACTTTATATGTCAACGAAATGACATATGGACTAAAAACCCGAAATCTTGATACAGAGCATTATATTTTTAAAAGGATTATGTAATCATTACACGCTATGATATAAAAACACTCTGGGGATTATTTCATAGGATTCAGAGCTTTGTTTAAAGAAAATGCAGCTCCAGCACTCCATGATTCACATGTATCCTTACAGGCACTGAGCTCTCTGCTAGCCTGAGTTGATTCTAAACCAGAGTTTCTCAACCGTGGCAACTTTACAACGTGTCGACTTCAACTGCTTTCTGGTTAGGGAATTAAGAGCTGAAGTCTGCACATCTAACCATTACCAAGATCCCCTACTAAGAGAAGTTAATGAGAAAAGGAGTTTAAGATGGTCCAGAATTCCTTCAAAAAGGGGATATTAAAAGCACAATTCACACAAACACAACAGAGTGATAATCACTTACCAAAGAGAGTACAAAACAGAGCTCCCAGCACTGGATCTGGAAGAGATGCAAACAGCGCACTGAATTTGCCAACTGTTCCAAGTAGCAGCATGAAAGCAGCACCGTACTGAATAACTCGTCGGCTTCCAACCTGTAAAACATTCATGTGGGAAGAATAAAAAAACAATATTCCGACAGCAACTGGTATCAGATTTGCGCTCCGTGACAGAGCTTGAAAATCTTTTGGAGGAAATGATTAAAAATAAAAGCAAAATAAGGCCCACTGTGGTGGCCATGGGGAGATGCTGGAGATGGAGAGCCTTGAAAGCAGAAAAGACGCTCTCTGGCCATATGTAAACATGACATCATTCTGGAATGACGTGACATATAATATTGTATGTAAAACCTAGCAGGCTACTGGTTACTACTGAAACTTAAAGTCATTTTTAAATGCTATTCTTTTTTAAATATGGAACCTATGGATTTGCTACTTAATGTTACTAACAGACGCTCAAATAAAAATTGTGCGATATTAGAAAAGCTACCTTAACCCTCAGGGAAAACATTTTGTTAAAGATACCGAGCACTCCAATTAGTTTATACAAAAGAAAAGCTTGTTTTAAGCTTTTGGGGTCCTTATTTCAGAACAGGAAGTACCAAAAATACATTTTCCACTATATATCTATGTTTGTGTGAAATATTTTGTTTTGCTTTAGAATACGAGAAAAATTATATAAATTTTATATAAATTTTAAAAAAATACGGTTACAAATTAAACACCTTATGCGGTTGCAAAACAGATTTGTGCAGCAAAGATAATATTGCCATTGATTTGATCAAATCTTAGCATTATTTACCGTTATAAATATATTAATGTGACAAAGCAGATGCTACTAACAAATCTTTCTTTAAGGGCTACAATCTGCTTCATGCAAGAACCACAAAATATACAAGCTTTATCATGTCTTCGGCTTGCCAAGAAGGCAACTCAAAAACAGGTGTGTGTGTCAGAGGATTGAAGCAACAATGGCTTAAACAACTCCACTCCCTTCTGAGTTTGATTGATAGGACACCAATTAAAAAGCAGTCCAATTATTTTCTCCTGTGAATTCTCTTTTAGTGGCTGGATTAGGCTAAGGAAGAATGACAAGAATGCAGTTTTGTTACACAAATACAGTGGTTAAGCCACAATGTAATCTGCTTATTTGTGGCTATCAACAATTAATATTTTTGACATAGCTATAGGATGCTACATGCCTGCCCATCGACGTAGTAACACAATTATCAAATACAAATGCTTCTCTGGATATCCTGTCACTTAATATAAATATAATTAGGCCATGGGAACAGAAATCAGTCCATATCATGCTTTCCGCCCCCCCCCCCAAAAAAAACATTTTTCTCCTTTAATACTCAAAAGAAATAAATACAGTAGATGGCAACGTTTGAGCCTGGACTGCCAAAGCAAAGCCCCACCTAGGGGAGGGGGAAGGAGTAGTTATAGGCCAACCTACATCAGGGGTCGGCAACCCGCAGCTCTGGAGCCGCATGTGGCTCTTTCATCCCTCTGCTGCGGGTGGGGGAACTGGACTTCTGGTCAGCTCCAAAATTGAACGGGGGCTTCCGGTTAGGACCTTTGCAGCTCTTTGAATGTTTAAGGTTGCCGACCCCTGACCTACATCCTTGTAGACCTAATTGTGAGGATTTAGAATTGCATGAACTACAATTTAAATCACAAACCCCTGTCCTACCTGTACTTAGCCTACTTCTCAATGGCTTTTTTAAAAAATAAAAAAAAATTAAGCCTTCCTTTACGAAAGGTTGCAGGACTGCAGGGTAAAATGTAGCAGTCAGGTAGATTTGACATTTCCACGCGTGGGATCGGCTGTGCTCAGAATTATATAACAGGCCCATAAAACCTATGTAGCAGGGGGTGTCAAACTGAAGGCTCGTGGGGTGCTTAGATCTGGCCTGCGGGAAACAGCGAAGGACCAGCCCACGATGCCTCTGCCAGTGAAAATGGAGCTTGGGAGAGTCTCTGGAGCCCCATTTTCGCTGGCAGAGGGTTGCAGGAGGCCATCGCAGCTGAAAATGGAGTTCTGGAGCCTATTTTCACTGGCAGAGCACTTGGGCTGCCACAGGCGCCCCCAACACAAGTGATGTCGAACTGGCCACGCCCACCCTGGCCACGCCCACCCCAGCAAGGCCAAACACAATCCTGATGCGGCCCTCAATGAAATGAGAGTTTGACACCCGTGCTCCATCGAATCAAGGCAGACACAAGTCTGCCACATGAGATCTGGTTTGGCTCCGTGGCTCTTTGGAGTATCACTGGCTCTCTTTTTTTGCTTTGCTTTGTCTGAACAAGGGTTCTGAAACATTTTCATAATCAAATTCCATTTAACAAGGTGTTCATTAACTACTTTCCTGTCAACTTGCAAAGCTTTCAAGTTGCCATGAGCAGGAGGGAGGGAGAACTGATAGAGCTGATTGATTTCCCTAACTGAAGCTGCATTCCATACATTCTTCCTGACCGCAATCAGAAGGAGGGTGTTGGATTTCACAGCCAGCCAAAGTGGTTAATTGGAGAATGTGATTTATGACATGGCCAGAGAGGAGGGGGAGAGACAGGGTCATAGGGGAACGTGGGATTAGTTCTAACTGCATCCGAATATTGCCGAAATGGTGCTCCTAATAAATGACTGTATTTCTTTTGAAGTTCGGCTCATGACTCATGAATTAATTAGGGCATCTTTTGGAAACTTCACATTTCCTTCATAATGACTATTGCGTTTCATATTCCTTTGGGGGGGGGAGGTTAAGCCGTTTATCAGCCCTCCTCCATTCCAATCAATGCTCAGAATTTATATCAATTTTTTTTAAAATCAAATTTCCCGTAGCTGAACATTCCAAAGGAATCTAATCACATCTCCAAATATGCAAGCCGCAGCCCTGCATTCCAAGGATGTGCTAACATCGCACTCGTTCAACTGTGCGCCTGAGCAAGAACCTTTAGGCGAGAAAGAGACATTTGCCTAGGGTGTTGCATGACTTCAGCCAGCTGTAATCTATTCAGGGAACCATGATTAAGCAACTTGGGGCTCAGCACGATACACGAACAGTTTATGCTCTCAAGAACACTGAGAAGCCGATGAATTTTGCTTGCTTAGTTCATGTCAAATACCTTTGTAATTCCCAAAACTCCAATGTTAGGACTAGAAGAAGTCGACCCATTTCCGGTGCCAAACACTCCATCTAATACACAGGAAAGGCCTTCTATGAAAATGCCCCTGTGTCAAAAAGAAAAATATGTCAATTTATTTTTAATCAGAAAATGAGTTTGATCTTGGCACTGAAATAATATTGGAACCATCAAAGGGAATCAACATTTAATTCTGCTTTGGCCCACCCCTGGAGGCTCACCTGTTGATTGCATGGATGGGTGGTGGAGGAGCACAAGATAATCTGGCACAGGCGTAATAGTCACCGATGGATTCAATGATACTAGCAACCACAGCACTGAGCATCCCAATCACACCAGCAGCTGAAATGGTCGGTAATCCCCACTGAACTGTAAATGCAAAGACATTCAGTATTATATTGATGTAGGGCCCATCCAATGATGAACTTCCAGGCTAACCGACGGTGGTCTAATTAACTGACATCCAGATGTTTCTTTCCAGCATCCGTGGCCAGCATTTTCAGAGGGAAAGCAATCTACTCTGTAGCTCACAGGCAACTGAGCAATAGTACCCCTGTGTGTGTAACAGAACCAATCTCTCATTAGATCACGCCAATGAAATACTGAAAAGCTGAACTGCAATTGGATTCTTTATCCTGGAGAATTTGTAATTGGTCTGATTTGAAGAATTTTCAAAAGAATTGGAACATTCATAACACTCTTTAGATTCTACGTGGGGTTTATTCATTTATTTTTGATGTGATGTAAAGCTAGAAACTGGGTTTTGTTAATCACAGACTCTCTTCTTGTCAAATTCTTGGGACTTTTATAAATCTCAACAGCTTCTCTATGTACTTGTGCGTGGTGGTTTGTCATGATTGCTGGCATTTGTAGGTCTTTAAATTTAAAATTGTGCCTGTGATATAATAGTCACTTGTGTTCAGCTATTGCTGATATTTCAAGGTGTCTCAGTCAACAACAAATTTTATGTTCTTCTAACTGAGCATCTGTTTTATAGTCCCAATACATACCTCTCCACAACTACAAAGTACGTGATAAACTTTGATCCAATCATTTCTTGGATTTTTGTTTAGTTTAGGAAGCGAGTCTGAAGCGAGCCCTTAATTCACCAAAAACCACAGTTAAGGAGGTTCAAAGGCAGAATAATCAAATGCATCTCGATTCAAACTTCTTCAAATCAGACCAATTACAAAATAACCTGGAGAAATCAGAAAGCCAATCAGAAGTTGGCTTTTCAGAATTCCACTGGCATGGTCCAATGAGAAATTCTGTTATAATAGCGCTATCAGTTTCTGCTCAGTTGCCTGTCAGCTGTGGAGCAGATAGCGTTGCTTCTGAAGGAAGGCATGGTGGTGAATCATCAGGATTGCAGACAATTAAAACACAACCTATTAGCTTGGAAATTCATCGTCATTACATACAGACTTCCTCCTTCTTTTAAAAGCAAAGCACTTTCAAGATGTAAAATACTTCTCTACATGCCAGGACAGGTAATTTCTGTAACCTAGGTCAGGGGTCTCCAACCTTGGCAACTTTAAGACTCGTGGACTTCAACTCCCAGAATTCCTCAGCCAGCAAAGCTCTGGGAGTTGAAGTCCACAAGTCTTAAAGTTGCCAAGGTTGGAGACCCCTGATCTAGAGGCAAGGTAGGGACAAATATTCAGAATATTGGGAATCCAAAGTGTACTTTGCTACAGCAATGATTCCTCCTAGATAGTTAATCTCCTGAATAAATTGGTGCTTTCTGATTAGAAAGACTTTCTATGTGTACACATTTATCATGTATGTAATGTGTACACGTTTATCATGTATGGGCACAAATCAGTACACAATAATATACATATGGGTTAAAAGGCTGAACTTGCATCGTGGGAGACCTCGATTCAAATCTTCACGCAGATAGGGAGTTCTGAGTGACTGTCCAGTCGGAGAAAAGTGTGGATGAAAATGAAACAAATATATATTCAAAAATATTTAAGCATGCTCTCCTTCCCTCTTGAATGGAACGGGATAATGTCAGAGCAGTTCATTTGGAAAGTCTCAGCGTGTACAATTATACTAATACTTGAAAAATCAAAATTAAATGTACTACTCTACCAGAGTCAGTCCATCGAAATTGGCATCTTCAGATTCACACAGGCAAAGAGACTGCAATGACTGTACCAAAAATGCAAAATACCGTATTTTTCGGATTATAAGACGCTCTGGACTATAAGACGCACCTACCTTTTTTGGTGAGGAAAACAAGAAAAAGAAATCTGCCTCTGCCTCCCAGCAATTTTGCTTCATTGCAGCAAACAGCCTGCTTTACTTTCATTTTCATTATAGCTTGATTAGCACAAGAAAAAAAAAAATCTGCTCCCAGCAATTTACCCCCTTGCAGCAAGCAGCAGAGGCCCGCGCAGCAATAAGCCATGGCTATCCCTGCAGCCTGAAACAGCTGAGAGTCGGGAGGCCGATCCAACGGACAATCAACTTGTGCTAATTAGGCTGTGCTGAAGCTGAAACTGGCTGTTCCTTCTTGCTGCTTGCTGCAAGGAGGTAAATTGCTGGGAGGCAGAGGGGAAAGGGTGGGAGCCAGTGGATGGGAGGGGCTACATTCGATGTATAAGACACACCCAAATTTTTACCCCCTTTTAGGTGGGGGGGAAAGGTGCGTCTTATACTCCATAAAATACGGTATATTCAGGGAGATTCCTCCTCCTGAGTGTTTGCTAGATTCACTTACAGGGATATGGGATCTTGAACCAGGGAGCTACCAGGAGAACCCCTTGCCTGGCGTCAGTGCGAGCGTAGAATCCATACTTAGTGTTATCGGGCGGAAAGACGTCCGTCACAGTAAAGATGAAACATAGCAGCCAAGAAACCAGGATAGCTAGAATGATCTGCAAGGGAGACAGGAAGGCACTTAAAATAAAGTAGGGCAAGCAACGAGCGCCCGTTTGGGCTACTGGCGAAGACATCAGGCGAGAAAGCAGGAGACGGGAGTTCTAGTCCCGCCTTGCGCATGAAAGCCAGCTGGGTGACCGTGGGGCAGGCCCTCTCTCTCAGCCCAACACAGGGTTGTTGTTGTGGGGGAAATGAGAGGAGGAAGGGGTGCTGAATATGTCCGCTGCCTTGAGTTATTTGTAAAAGTAAGAAAGGTGGGATACGAATAAATAAACAAAATAAAAACGTGGACATGCTTTGGGGGCCAAGATTTTTGGGTTTAACACAGCACGATTATTTTCAGATTAAAAGAAAAACTTTTCCCCATACAATTTCCCAAACTGGGAAAATTTCCAAATAACTTGGTACTACTCCTATTACATGCTGTGCACCCTAATCAGGAAATAAAACCCAGTTGATCACTGACTGCAAATGAGAAGTGATGATTTAAAAAAAAAAAAAAAGATGCTAGATCTTAATCAACAGATTCAGCACTGAATCCTTATCAAAGATTTCAAGGAAAGAGGGAATAGTGGGACCACACATCGAAGATCCACTGGATTTAACACTATCTGTCACTCTTGCCAAGGAAAAACTCATGGGGTTTCCAGATTACAGATATCCCATTAGTTTTCAAGCATCTAATAACTAAGAGGCATATTGGAGCTGCAGAGAGTTCAAGAGAATGGTAACAAATTGTTATCGTTAGGTTTTAAGAGTAAACTTATGAGTTAGCCGTTAGCTTGAAGGCAAGCAGATGTCTCGGAATAGGGCAGGATTTCTCCAGTGGCCCGTTCAAGGTCCGTAATGAGGCTGCTTCAGACCTGAGCAGTCCCAGAGATCACGGTTCTCTTAAAGCAGTGTTTCTCAACCTTGGTAGCTTGAAGATGGGTGGACTTCAACTCCCAGAATCCCCCAGCCAGCGTTGCTGGCTGGGGGATTCTAGGAGTTGAAGTCCACCCATCTTCAAGCTTCCAAGGTTGAGAAACACTGCTTTAAAGGGATCAAGAATCCTGAATGCCAGCTGCTGCCTTCTCTGAAGTAGCCCTACACTCTGTTTTTAAGGATTTCCCGCTGGCAGCTATCTTACGAAGTGAAGTCCTAGTGTTTGTGAACAAACATGCTGTTTGAAAGTGAAAACCACTTATCTCTCTGCATTTTTTCCCCCCTCTCTAGCTAAAAAGCCCGGAATCTGGTACTTTTCATTTGATAGTTGCCCCTAACCTGGAAATCATTCTTGGCTCTTTTCTATATCTTGTTTAACTTAGCTGTATTTTTAAGTGAAGAAAACAGAATATTCTATGTGGTTTTAAATTACAGGTACATAGTTATTCAACAGATTTGTGGTGACATTTATCTTTTTCTTCCGTCCTATTTTCTAGTTTACCAATATTTATTTTTTCACAGTTAGCATGAGGCTTACCACGTCAATCTTTTAGGGAAGACTAAACAGGTTGCGTTCTTTCTCAAAGCTTACCTTAGACTTGGCTAGATAATTGTGATGAAATTACAGCCTCTTCTACATTTCAAAACAATCAATCAATCACACACACACCTTCTATACCGATAATAATCAACATAAAGATTACTTACAGGAAACATTTTAAAAAGCTGCAAGCGATAGGCAGTCCATCCTTTTTTGGACTTGTAAATGGGTAATGGTAATTTGACATTTCGGGCATATTGAGAAAACAACAGCACTAAGAAAATAGTCCTGCAAAGATGAAAAAGAATTACTATTACTTCAGCAGCAGTTCCATGGATTTAATAGATTAAAAAATCAGTGAAATAAATTCCTCTCTCCCTCAATAGGACTGCAAAGGATGTCATATTTTTCCAGATGAATTAAAGGTTTGGGGCAAAGGATAGGAGGGCTGGCTCCCTATTTCATCTGCTGTGTTTGTAATGTGCTTTAATCTGTTTTTGTTACTTGCTTTGACTCTTGAAAAGGTTCAATAAATCAGGTAAATTAAATATATTAGCAGTCCACATGACCTCTGTAGTCAGTGTAGAGAAAAAGTATTTCATCTACTATCCACCCTCATTTACTGTGATGCATTTTAATTATAACGGTTAATCCAGTGGTGAAATCCAAATTTTTTTACTACGGGTTCTGTGGGCGTGGCTTGGTGGGCGTGACAGGGGAAGGATACAGCAAAATCTCCATTCCCACCCCACCCTGGGACAAGCCACAGGTGGTGGTATTTGCCGGTTCTCCAAACTGTTCAAAATTTCCACTACCGGTTCTCCAGAACCTGCTGGATTTCACCCCTGGGTTAATCAATTACTAATTTTGATTCATCCAAATGCTTTTGCACCATCAACATTTGCCTTTCCCAAATCCAGGTTGATTTTGCCATTTCTTTCTTGAAAGGACTTCTTAATGTGCATTTAGCTAGAGGCATCATTCAAGAAAAAATAGTGACATCGGAGACACACGGTTCCACGACAGTGACCCTGATGGCAAATAAGGCTACTGCCTCAAAGTTACTGGCCTCTAGCAACGAAGGCTGCCTCCAGAAATGGTTGATGCTCCATCGCTGGAGATTTCCAGAAGAGGAAGGACAACCGTTTGTCTGATATGGCCTGGGGTCTCCTGGTTGAGCTGGGGGTTGGACTCAAGGACGCCTAGGTCCCTTACAACTCCATTGTTCTATATCTAAGCATTTTCCTCTGTGATGCAAAAGGTCTTGAAGCCACACAATCACCAGGTCAGGTTCTGTTATTCCGCATTCTCACGCATGACTGGTGGCACAAACAACATATATCCAATGACCAGGAGGAGCTGCACAAAGTGTATATTGTTGAAGCAGCGCCAGCCTTACTGTGCGCCAAGTGATGTTTGGAATGGCCCCTGTGTATTCCATAAAGAGGAGAGCACAAATATTATTTAAGGTGACCCTTATGTAACAGGATTATCCTAAGATAACTTTAGCAGCCAAGGTCCAGGTTCTCCTCTCTTGACTTTAAACGTTGCATTTTGGCGGCGCCTCTGGAGGCCGGTCACCTGGGTGCCATTGTTTTCTTCTGCTGTCTTTCAGTTTGCATCATTATCTCCTCTGTTACTGTTGTGTAATTTCCTCCCCCCCCAAAGCAATTTAAAAATAAAGTATTGGCATCATACCAAGGATGACCTATTTACGAGATATACTGTTTTTGGAGACTGGCCTAAGCGGGTAAAAAGCCACCCTCCGTATTGATTGATGGGAACTTTCTCGTGGGAACCAAGAACGTTCCTGCAGGGTGCTCGGAAGGAGGGGACTGCAGTCACCTAGCAACTGGATAGTATCCTGATTGGACCATGTGACTGATTGCTTTGAGAAAGTGAGAAACTTTCACTTTTAATTAGGTGGAAACCGCGGGAATGTTCAGAGTCGGTTTTCACCAGCCTGGGCCAATATGACATATCCAATAAACCTGTTCTTTGAGGAAATTGCCTGCCTCAAGAGTTTTGTTTGCTATGAGTATATTACTTGGAACCCTGACTCTTCTAAACTTCACGCTCCAACCGGAGTTGCTATACAGGGTCCTGAGTCCCGGTCGCTTAACCGGTCTACCTGGGCAGCGGAAACACTCAAGAGGAGATTGACATGTGACACTTGTACATTATTGACAGCTGGGTGACCAAGAATACTTACAGCATGGCTATGCCCCAGTGTTTGCCTGCTCTCTCGCCTGCAGCCTGGAACCCAGAGAGCCCAATGAGAGCTACCGTGGGGGTAATAGTCAGAGGTCCAATGTATCGCAAGAGTGCTCCGGGCAGGCCCAGGAAGCCAATCACCACTTCTATCAAAGAAGACATGATAATGGCACCTTGGATCTGAACACAGAGAAAAGAGAGAAGCTTTCATTAGATTCCTCCCCTTCTTTCCATTTTTTTTTCTGTTTTGTTTTTTTAAACAGAGAAGGTTTTATATTTCTGCAGAGATTTTTGGAATGGGTCATGAACTGCAAGTCAAAAAAAAAAAATCAAGTAACTAGGCAAAACTGGGCGATGGCATGTGTTATGCAATGGAGTGCTTAAGCAGCAAGCTTCCCAGACTAAAGAACACCTGAAGTTCAGAGGTGCACGCTCTGTTATCATCAGAAGATGATTCAACCGAAGGATTACCAACCTCGTCCACTTCTTACTGCTTAAGCACAAAGCTTAGGTTGTAACACACAACGGGGTCATTAGACCACATCTGGCAGTTGTGTCAATAGCCACATCACACGGTCATTACAGGAAGACCTGGGTTCCAAGCTAACCTTTCAAGTTTTCGGATCGAACCGGCAAGGGCTGGCGATGCCACGAAGGTGATGCTCTTAGCTCCTAGGGGGCAGAGTGTATGATGCATTTGGTCACACGTGCTCTTTAGAAGCTGGCATAGAGCAGCGCAGCGGTCTCAGGAGACTGCCAGCCCCCCCCTTGGCTGGGCTGCAGGCCTCTTGACAGGATGGAGCTACGGTTTGAAGATGGGGAAGAGAGAGGGGATGTTTTAAATTGAGGAACAATTGGCAGCCCACAGCAATGGGATGGGTGAAAAGCTCCATGTCACAGGCGTGCACTGGATCTATATTTTATTGTCGTTAATTGTTCTAGATTCTTAAGGACCAAGAACGCCTAAAATATTGGGAGTTCAGGTGGGAAAAGAGAAGTAGAGCAGCAAGACTGACAAATCATCTATAGAAAGCAAGGCAGTGCTTCTAACTCCTGAGTGGTTTTCTGGAGCAAAAATACAGTAAGGCAGTGCAGATTACTCTCCCTATAATAAGCCTTTGACTGCACAACTACATAAATGACCCAGCAGCCTCTTAACAGTTCTTTCGTTATTATTACTGATGCATGCCTTGAAACAGAGAGTAATAATCACTCCTTAGCATGACAGCATATCCTTAGCAACCATAGTCTGAATCTCATGCAGTTGGGAACTTTGCGATCACAAAGAAAAAGACAGGAAAGGACTTCTCCGTACATGGAGAAGGAATTTTAGGAAACCAGAGTCAGCCATCTGGAGAAGTGCCCAACAGACGGCCCAGTGCTGAATAGATTATGCAAGTTTACCTCTCGTATTCTGGGGTACCAGATATGTTCTGTGTTCAGCAGCTCCGATGTTCCGTTTGTAGCCATTACAGCTTAGAAGGTTAAAAAGAAACACCTCTCGTTATGGCAAAATAAATGGCTTTAATATACATAAAAACTTAGCTTCTTCTTCTACTTGGCCCCTACTGCCCCAGATCATATATACATAGTACATTTTATATATAGAATAATCCATTCTGCTGGTCAGTTTAATTGCCTCCCCACAGCCACCGAAAAACCCTATGGAATTGAAATTATGCCTTGGTAACTGAAGCTGTAGCATGTACTGATAAAATGTACTTTTTAAAATAGCGTTAGGAACGTATTTATTGCCCTGCTTATGCTCAGGTAGAACAAAAAAAAAAACCCATCTCTTCTCTGTTTTTTTTAAAGTAATAACTGTACATACAGATAAATAGCTTGTTGTTCCCACCTTACAGTCACAAACAATAAACCCAAATTAATTGCTAGCAAACCACATTGTGTGCCCTGTGTAATATTTTATGAATTGTCTTATATAAGATTGTGAATCGCCCTTATTTTTTGTGAACTGCAGAACATCCCTTCCTGGTCTTGTTGGATCTTTTTAATCCCCTCTGTCCTGAGTTTTGACTGAAAGGTTAATTGACCAAATTCTAATGAACAACAGGGAAATATATTTTGCAAGAGGGGGGAGGGGGGCAGGGGGGCCAAAGGAGGAGCAAATCCAAAATGATGACTACCTCCCTGTTTACCCAAGCTTTCATAGAAAGACTCCAACAAATGAGTTGGAGAAATCTACCTGTTTAGCCAGAGGAGAATTCTGCATTCTATGAGTTAGGAAGATCAAGGATGAAATTGTGAGTTTATGCTTAGCCAGCTGTAAGTGCCTGACTCCTTCCCTAACCTAATTTTCCCTTCCACCAATTGTTCTGCCCCAGCTCCGGATTCCCAAGGATTGTGACACACACCAACGGTCCTTATCAAAGTTATAACGTACCAAGAATAAACAAAGTCCGGCAAAGGTTGGCAACCAGCCCAGAAAACAAGATACGATAAGACACTCACTCTCCAAAACACTCTGTAATAATTACACGTTGTTTCCAGCAAGAAATTACTAACTGCGTGCGACTTAAATAGGCTAAGAGAGTGGCCAATTATCCTCAAACCTTACTCTTGAGGAGGCCTCCTACTCCTGCATTTTGGCAGCCCTGCGTGCTCGAGCATTGAGGAGAGGCTCCTCCACTTCGCTCTCTCAACTTGAAGGAGCCTCTGGAGGTTCTGAAGGCCCAGGCTGAATCTCTGCCTCTGGCACCACATCCTCTTCAGCCTCTTCGCTGTCCGACGCAAGCACCGGCTGCGCAGGCTGCTGGCGCGACCCCAAACCAGCCTCCTCGTCATCACGATCAGCCACGATCCACGCAGGCCGCTGGCGGGCCACAACACCAATTGAGTTTATCTGTTTGGCTGCCTTCTTCCATAGCTTCCTTCTAGTCCACTACTACTCATGGTAAGCAAAAATGATTCAAGAAGGCAGGGTTTACAGCATCCCTATATTGTGCTGCTACTACAGCCAGTTGTTATCCCAGAATGGGCAACCCCCAGTGGACACCAAGAGGCAGAGATTCAGTTGGATGATCCGGAGGATAATTTCACAGCGCAGATGTGATTCGGGCGTGTTATGTCACAAAAATGTCGCTTCTTAATTTGGCTGGCTAGACTGTAATAACAGCTCCCGTCTGACGCCTCCTGTTTAAAGAGGACAGCTTCTAAGGCAGAACAAGAGGTCTCTTTATAAACAAAATGTCCTCTACTTACTCAACTAGCCCCCATAAAGTTTCTAGCTTTTGCTGAAGGCAAAGAGCAACGTCATCATCCCCATCTATTAAAAACCGTGGTGACATTATTTGACCTTCTGCCATGCCCTGAATTTCTACAGGGTGGGGAGAAAATCTGTTTCTGAATCCAGAAAGCTTTCCCGATGCCATTATAAGAAACACACGTTTTAGGCACTTGGGCTGTTCATCACACTAAGCACTATTTATTAAAGAAGTTACAACAGGTCACATTTATTATTTAACTGTCGTGTACTAATAATAGTTGGGGATGCAAATACACCAAATGCCAAAACTAAATGGACTACATTACGGCTTAACACAATATGTGAACATGCTCTTAATTTTTGACCTTAACTCTGAAAGCCTCTTTTCCCAGGAATTTGGAAAGTTAAATGTTCACAGCTCCTCATTTGGAAAAGACTTTGGGGCACTGCCAAAATACTAGGGCCTATCTCAAGTAAAATATGATTATGCCTATGCATGCTATTGCCTATTGGCAGCCGAACAAGATGACTCAGCTGTGGAAATTAGTAACGCATTTCCCTCTTATTTAATATTTCAAACCACTCTTAATATTCTAGATGCAAAATGAGATTTCTCTGGGAAATGTCTTGTTTGAAGGGGGAAAAAAATCAAATTCCTGTTCCGCTGCTTTTATTGAATGTGTTTCATCTTTGGAAAATAAAAACCGGAATTCAATATAAGTTTAATGGCTGACAAGTTTATTTAAAGGGATTTTTTTTGTTCGTAATGTGAAAACAAGGAGCCCGAGGTTTCACTTTACAGGAGGAGAGCCATGTTAGTAAAAAAACAAACAAACAAAAAACAGGAATCTGGCAGCATCTTTTCTAACTACAGTAAGCCTAAATCTTTAACTTATACATGGCTGCTGCAAATTGAGGTGCCCAGCTGATACTTTTGTCACCCAAAAGGTGGAGATGGGAACTAGAGGGTCAGTTATACTAAATTTAATCCTACTAAGGATGAAATGCTGAGGGAGTGGAAATTGTAGACATTTTCGAAGAGTGTCACCATGTCATACTCTGCCACGGGTAACTGAACAAAGTCAGACTTGTGTTTTAGACTAGAGAGCCAAATTCAACAAATTAAGAGAGAGATTAGGAAGGATTCTATGGCTGGAAATCCTAGAAGGGAAAACAGTTGAGGAGGCTTGGAAAATTCTGGAAAATGAAATATTAAAGGCCCAATCAAAACAATACCACAAAAACAAAAGATACCAGACGAGACACAAAGAGATCTCTAACGAATTGAAGGAAAGGAAAGAAATTAAAAAATGGAAGCATGGACATGTAACTGAAACAGAATACCAGCAACTAGCCTGACTCTGCAAAGATGGGTCAGGAAAGCTAAGGCTCAGAATGAACTAAGAGTTGCAAAAGATGCCAAAAATGATCATTTTCTTTCATTATGTAAGGAATAAGAAGAAAAGTCAAGGAAATGAACGGTCCTCTAATTGGAGAAGATGGAAGAACGAGATGGACAGAAGGGAGAAAGGGGAGAAAGCAATTCCTTCTTTGCATCTGTCTCCACTCAAAAGAAAAAAGAAATAGCCGAAGTTATCAGAAGTAGCACCGTAGGAGACAGAACAGGGAGGTAAGAAATTGGTAAAAGAATCCTATCCACTTTGGACAAGTTCAAATTGTCAGGGCCAGATGGTTTACATCCCAGAGTAGTAAAGGAGCTGGCAGATGTGGTCTCAGAATCACTGAAGTCCTGGAGAACTGTCAGAGGACTGGAAGACCTCCAAGGTCCCTCCAGCTCTATGATTAAATGATTCAAATGGACAACAATCACGGAGTTTTCAGGAACCAATTACTTGGAGAATAAAAGGAAAACATCAATGACGTCACCGTTGCCCATTTTTTCCACACGCTCTTCTTTGATATTTCTGGGAACCGGAAAATTAATCTGATCCCAAAGATGCTGTACTTCAAAGCAAAGTATCCTCCGGCATGATGCTTTGAGTCACTGGGATTGATCAACCTGACATCTAATTAACAGATTGCTTTTTCCTCATGCGTGCCAATTACTTTTGGAATACCTTATAGCTATGTTATCAAGTGCCTGTCAGCCTCTGAAGTGCTTTTACTTATATATTCTGCACTTAGGTTGGGGAAACAGTCCAGCTAAACTGCCCTTATAACATCAAAATCATCCACCAAATTCCGATGACCTACGCGTGGGCAAGACCAGAGGTAGGCTGCTGCCAGTTTGGGCGAACCAGTAGTTCCGACCAGCAGCTGCCCCCCACCCCACCCCCCACCCCCCCGGACTATCCCATCCTATATAATTGCTGTGTGCTTGATGCCGCACAGGTTCACATTTTCGGTTCTGAGCGAACCGGTTGTTACATTATGTGATGGCCACCTCTGGGCAAGACTTATCTGGCAATAATAAAAAACTAAATTTGCAAAATTCTATACAAACAAGATTGGACGCAAAATATATGGCCTACTTTCCATTCTGGGAACGAATTCTGTTTTCTGACTACATTTGCATAGAACGAGGCCCCTGTTTAATGCAGCCTTTTCCATGCTGGATCCTGGGTGCTAGTCCAGCATAGACAGGGGGGAATATTGATTCAGCTGAGCTGCAGGCTGTTCACTCAGGACCCTTCCTTCGGGCAGGTCTTTTCAACAGTTAGATTGAAACTTGCCTAAACTAGACAAGCCAGTTCTAATTATGCAAACTTTCTTAAATAATTGTTTATAAAACTTGCTTCACTAATCATTGTTCGTAATGCTTGATGCAATTTATTTATAGCTCACCCAGTGGGTGAAGCAATAATGAAAACTAAGATTTTTTTTTCTTTTTTTTTCTCCTAGTTTATAAAGAGTGGAGTGTATATATCCTATTTTATGGAACACAATTTAGATTTCCTGAATCCTTGACACTTAATTCAACTAAATTCAGGAGGCTCTGAGGGCTCAAAAAAAATTTAAAAAAAAATATCCCCAAACCCCTGGGAACATATCCTGTTCCTGCTGTTCCTCCTTGGCTATTTATTGCCTCTGAACTTGAAGGTGTTGCAAAACCATTTAGCAACCTGAATAAGTAAATTGGCCCACGAGGTTCCCGCCATCCACCCAATTTTCGGAAACTCCTCCCAAGAACAACTTCAATGAAATTCTTCTGGGAAGAACCTGGGAAGCTTGTCCCTTGAGAAACCCTGAAATTTGCATCAAAAAGCCATTTTTGTTCTGTCTTTCCTTCGGGGATCTTCTAGACCGGCTACAGAATTGGTAACCCACTCTGGAGGTTCTGTAAAGGCAAGTCCTCCTCGTGACTGTTATAAATCAGAGTCAGCCTTTTAAAAAAAGGAGTTTCTCCCCATTTTGGCTCTTGCCCTGAAGGACCAAAGGCCCGGAGGGAAAGGATGGTTGCTCACCTGTGTTGTTACACTTCCATTTGTCCAGAGAGAGGATGGCTCTAGCGGGAGCCAAGAATGCAAAAGCACTGGCCTGAAACAAGGGTAACCTGAAAGAGGCAAAAAAAACCACATTTTACAACAGTGCCACAACATGCAAGAAGAGTCACCTCTTCGGTGTTATCCTTACTAGTTATCTTCCCAAATCTAATCTATCTAAATTTATTGTAGTGCCCATAAATACAAATACCAAGCAACGTAAGCAGTTAAAAGTTAAAATGTTACTCTATTGTTGACCAAAGCACAAAAAACCAATAAAGAGAACAAAGAACGGAGTTGACATCAAGCAATGTGTGGACTAATTTGACGGTTTCTGAACAGTCATAAATCTTCATCAATGAAACAGAAATATTCTAGAAACCTCCCTCTTTATCTAAACCAGGGCTCTCCAAAACTGGGCAGCCTTTAGAGTTGTGGACTTCAATTTCCAGGATTTCCCAGCCAGCATTGGGAGCTGAACAATTCTGGGAGTCTTAAGGCTGCCCAGTTTAGAGAGCCGATTTAAACGATAAAGGTGAATGAGACAGAGAGCATCTTTCGGAAACTTCACAGTAAATAGTATTTTACTATAAATCACTCCAAGGGCAAAAGCTATTTCTTAGTTTTAATCTAGAGAATCCTAAATACCTTAGTCCTGGACAGTTTTGAGATTATCTTTCTTTCGGCATTCTCAAATGATAAGACCCCCTCTTACAGGGATCCTCCCTTCCACAAGAATCTGCCCCAACAGTGCACAAGGTAGAATCTTTTACTCCTCTCGTTCGCTTTCTTCATGAGTCCATTTGTTCTAGTATGGCAGGTTAGAGTCAAGGTTTATTAGCCAATAAATCAGACAATCGGCAGAAATCAAAGGGCACCATTCATTCCCTTTGGGGGGGGGGGGGAATTGGCAGCTCCTACAGCTTAAGATCCTTGACATTGGAATGCCAAGGATACATTATCATGTTGAAGTCTGCCAGGCTTAAATTTGCCAAGGTTGGAGACCTCAGTTTAGGGGCTTTCTTTTCTGGCATCCATTTTCATGAAGACTTTATATATAGCCCTGAGACTTCAATACTGCTTCACGGTGCTTTACAGTCCTCTCTAAGCAGTTTGCAGAGTCAGCATAATGGCCCCCAACCATCTGGGTCCTCATTGGGTCAATTCAATACAATCTTTATTTTTCTGGATTTTGACCCATCGCATCGGTTGATCAAAAGGACCAAGTCAGAGACCTTATGGACAAGCAAAAATACTCAATTCGTGGTTTTTTTTTCTTCTTCATAAGATCCTCTTTTCCAGTCAGCCTGTTCTAATTCAGGAAACTTAGAAAGATACTGAACAAATCCTGGAGGTTTTCTTTGGACTGGTATCCTTCAATAAGCTTCACTAGTTTATTTAAACCGGCCTGCCTTTTTTATCCTACTGAGTTATCATTCCCCACCCATATTCTCTTTCGTAGGTAAATATACTCAATATTTTTTGAAAGAAAGGCTCCGAAATGAAATCATACTTGGACGGGCTAGACCTAAAGCAAAAGATGACTGCGTTCATTCTTTTGTTATTTTTCCATGTTATTTTTTAATATCCTGCCTAGAATAAACATAATATAGATGTAGGTACTCAACATACTTTTCACCTTTCACGAAGGTGAAAAGTGTACATTGTTTTTTTTCTACAGTAACAGAAGACTATAACTGGATGGAAAATTCTATGACCTTAATACTAAAGGAAATCGAAAACCTATTTTGCTTTGATCGTTAATTTCTAATACCATATGTAATAGAGAAACGAGAAACGTTAAATATATGTTTTAAAAAGAAACAAAACCGCAAGTCTCCCACTAAAAGAACATTTACACGCTGTGGGTAGTTCTGCCGGTTCCCACTGTTGAACAGAAATCAACTCCAGCAACCACGCAGAGAAATGTTAGTTAGGGTAGGAAACGGGGTCTCCGTTGTCGCTATTCTTTGCGGGCTGCAAAAGTGCTGGCAGACGGAAGCAGGTCTAGGCTGGCACTTTTTTCCATACAGAATAACAAGAGTTGGAAGGGACTTTGGAGGTCTTCTAGTCCAACCCCCTGCTCAAGCAGGAAATCCTATAGCATTCCAGACAAGTGTGTGTCCAGTCTCTTCTGGAAAGCCTCCAGTGATGAAGTACCTACAACTTCTGGAGACCAGCCGTTCCACTGCTTAATTGTTCTCACTGTCATGAAATTTCTCCTTAATTCCAGCTTGCTTCTGTCCTTGATTAGTTTCCATCCATTGTTTCTTGTCTTTTCTTCTGGTGCTTTGGAGAATAAATTGAGCTCCTCCTCTTTGTGGCAGCCCCTGAAATACTGGAAGATTGCTATCATGTCACCCCTGGTCCTTCTACTCTCTCCACACTAGCCAAACAACAGTTCCTGCAGCTGTTATTCATATGTTATAGCCTCCAGCCCCCTAATCCTTCTTCTTGCTCTTCTCTTCACTCTTTCCAGAATCTAAACATTTTGTTTTAATATTGTGATGACCAAAATTGGATGCAGTATTCCAAGTGTGGTCTTAATAAGATTTTATAAATCTTAGTACGTGAAGTACTAATACTTTACGTGACCTTGATGCTGTCTGTCTGTTAATGCAACCTAGGATTGCGCTGCTTTCAGAAGATGAAATGTTCAATTCTGACAAGGTCAGCCCCACTGTTATCCAAAACGAGACGTAAAGTATACCAAGTGAGTTTAACTAGTACATGATTGCTCCTTCTAACCATTGCAGGACGCAGCTTCTAGAGCAGTGTTACTCAACCTTGGAAGCTTGAAGATGGGTGGACTTCAACTCCCAGAATCCCCCAGCCAGCAGCGCTGGCTGGGGTATTCTGGGAGTTGAAGTCCACCCATCTTCAAGCTCCCAAGGTTGAGAAACACTGTTCTAGAGAATCAGGGCAGAAGGTTTAATGTTAATGAAGCTTTGCTACCTTTCCTCCCATAACACATTGCCAGCATCAGATATTAAACAGGTAGCCCTTGACTTACAAGCATAATTGACCCAGTAACTTCGCTTGTAAGCCATGACGGTCTTTAAGTGGTCATCATGTGACTGCACCTGATTTTCCAACCTTTTTTTGCAGCTGTTGTTTTGCCTGTAAGAGTGATGTATTCTATTATTTGTGCTGAAAGAATGCTCGGCCATCCCTCTGATCATGACACGGACATGAATGGTGCCCGGAGCATCTAAATGCCTTCAGTCCTTCTAATCTCTGCTGGAAGGACTTCAGGCTCCAGGATTAAGAGAAGTATCTGACTGAGAATTTGGGGAGCAGCTGCTAACGAGAGGGGGACAATTTAGGCACTACTTCAACTCCCTCGGTATAAATTAAGTAACGTTTTTCATTTTATTATCAGACTCAAATAGGACTAAGGCTTTTAATTTTGCATGTTATCTACCTGTTTCCTGAACTGTTTAATGATTACTAATTTATTATGCTTTGAATCAATGCTACTTGGCAAGTGGAAATTTTGAAATATAAATTAGACAACTTTTCTTTTTAAATTTGTTTAAATACTTCCATCACCGTTCTGAAGGAGCTTTCTGAACGTTTATTCCTCATAGCTAGTCCCAATCTGCCAGACAACGTAGGCTTCAACTCCCATCATCTTTGCCAGCATGTTATTATCTTCTTCTTTTTTATATCCATCCTTTCTGTAGGAAGGAAGTTTAAAGGAAGCCTACACAGACCTCCCCCTTGTTTCAACCCCCATAACCACTCTAGGAATGTAGCCTAATCCAAAGCCATTCTTTGAGTCTCACAGTTGAAAGATGCCATGAAGCTGGTTCTCCCCAGGTGAAGTGTTCTGCCTTTAATCAAGATGTAATACTGCCCCTCAGCATTACTGCCTGGACTTCACAGGAAAAGTTATCAGCAGTTAACGCATCACCAAAGCGTAACTCACCTGCACCCAAATGTTGTTTGCAACAAAGTTGTGATTCCAACACAGAAAAATATGGTCCCGATCAACTGGCTGGTGGCCCACTGATCAAATCCAACACACATGGCATCTGCTAGCAAGAAGGGCACTGCTATGGTGCCACTGAAACAGGTCAGGTAATGCTGCAAAGAACAAAGGGTTATTTTTTTTTAATCACGTGTATGTCTGTATACCTGTGTAAATTGCTTTCCTTATGTTTGCAATATCATTATGATTAAACCAAGACAATCAATAATTCTGTATGAATAGTTTTATCCATTAGGAAATGACCATTATCTTAATAAAGAAGCTAACTTTGACGACCTCAGTGAAGGATTAGGAAATGGCAGTCCAAAATAAAAACTAGTATTATGCCATCAAGTTTCCAAATTCTATTGGGGAGGGTCCAGCAGATGTTAGGGAAGAGACCACAACTCAGTTACGGATTCAGACTCTTTGTGCTGAAGAATCTTATACCTATTAAAATGGTCTTAAGACAGTAGAGTTTGAACAAACTCCTTGCTAGACAAAAGTAACCAATTTAGATTGGATGGATCAAAAGTGTTACCTTCATACGAAGCAGTTACCGATCTACATATATGGATACTGACACGAATTTTATTCTCTTGAATTCTTATCACCAGAAGAACTTATTCTCACATTCAGCAATTTTCTTAGCGTGGCAAACCAAAATCTTTCATCAAAGGCAACCTCGACTTTGTGCTGAATGACTACCTGCTGGCTGGGGGATTCTGGGAGTTGAAGTCCACCCATCTTCAAACTTCCAAGGTTGAGAAACACTGATCTATAGGAAGCTGAGCTATACAAGCCCGCTAAAAATGGAAAGATTTGCTAGAGGACGATTGATTTAACGTGCTTGCATATCACCCCTTCATTCTATTCAAGAACCAGGCAGGAGAATATTCTCATGGAATCTGTCCAGGCTTAAAGCCCCCCTGTCCATCCTGTTGCTCTTCAGGGCATTTAGGCACATCTCCGTGTTACAAGAGAATCATCCTGGCTGCACAACTGGGTACCCTAGCGAAGTTCCCAAGCACAACAATGCCAGGAAGCACATTTTACATTCCTAAATAATTTCAGAATTCAGGTCCTCTTGGAAATGTTTTTTTTTTAAAAAAAATAACGCGGTGTGCCTTCATAGAGTGATGCAGAAATTATTTGTTCCAAGAAGAAAACGCTATGGCCGGAAACACCTTGCTCTGATAGAGCCCACGCATTTCTGTTCAGAGCAACAGAGAAGGAAACCAAGAATAAATTATCCGTAGTTTCTTGCTGCCTGAATTACCCTAATAAGCACGAGTCCTGGGAAAGTGTTATTCCCGTTCGGTCCCTGCTAAGTAATTCTAAAAATAATGCTTCAAAATTAAATTCCGACTTCCTTAATTGCTCGCTAGCATTTCAATGCAAAAAAAAATAAAAATACTGGAATAAATTGTACCTGTAACCCCAGGAATATGCAGAGATACCAGGGTGGAACATCTTCAATTGTGTAGATCATGTCCGTCCTTTGTGCGTCTGAGCTTCCACTACTGTCGAGGGTTTCTGCCAGAGAGCTCTGTCAACCATTAAATTAGCCACCATTTAATACCACAGTCTATTAATAGGTTACTGGGATACGTCTGAGAAGGTCTGAGAAGGCCTGCTGCAAAGCACTGTCAGTTCACATAGCAAAAAACAACAACAAAAAAAGCCCCAAACCTTTTACTTTTCTAGTAGTCATCAGCTAAACTACACGAAGGCCCTCCTCTCTTTCATGTGATCAACCCTCTGCCTTCACGTATAAGCAAAGCATTATTCTGTTCCTATGATATAATCACCCCGTATCCTGCGCCAAAAAATAAATTTATTTTTTTTTTGTGGTGCCCAACTGTTTACACAAAGAAATGTAGATGGTAGATTAGAGGTTAAGGGATATTTTCTGGGGGGAAAAGAAAGATTACACTTGCATAAGAGATCCGGACTCCCTGATTTATGAGAGTACTCTACTGTTTTCTAATGAGCTTTTGTTTATTGCAAGATATATAGCTTTGTTAGAAATATAACCCGAGGCACAGAAGGGACCATTTAGTCCTAATTCAACTCTCATCTCCATCCAGGAATTTAACTTAAAGCACCCTAACAAATGTCCATCCGGTCTCTGCTTTCTATAACATATAGACACTTAATGTGGAATACCACTGTTAAATACTACTGCTGATTGGTTTTTCAGATGAACAACTCTCAATTTTTTTAAAAAAAATGCACTTTCAAATGTTCAGTCAAGATCTACCTTCCTATAACTTAAATCTATTGTTCTGTGGTCCTGCACTTTGGAACCCACTGACTCTCTATCTTTTTGTTATTTGACGCAGGGGTCTCCAACCTTAGCAACTTTAAGACTTGTGGACTTCAGCAAAGCTGACTGAGGAATTCTGGGAGCTGAAGTCCACAAGTCTTAAAGCTGCTAAAGTTGGAGACCCCTGATCTGAGTTTTGCTATCATACAAATATTCTCTTCTCAGGACCAGACTTAATCACTTTCCTTAAGTTCTCTTCATAGGACTGGAGTTCCCAATCCCAGATTCAGATTCAGAGTTTAGGGAAGACAATGAGGTGTAAAGTTTGATAAACACTTACATGGCAAATCTGAGTTTTAAAATCCTTTTTTGAGGTTCTTAGTCGGAAAAAAAGTGTTTTTAGGCCTCGTAAACATTCAGAAGAATTATGGAAAAAATTATGCAGCAATCAAAGATAACAAAACCAAGGATGAAGATTAGGTTTGTGTGAGAGGCAATCTGCTTTACATTACAGGTAATCCTCACTTACCAACTGCAATTGGAAGCTGCAATTCAATCGCTACACACTGAGTAAGTTAAGTGCAACATCACGTGACCACACCGACTTAAGACTTCTGTTCCAGCTATACTTGTTAAATGAACCAGCGCTGGAAAGTTAAAGATGGCATGGCCAATACTGACCTAAATGATCTGACTTGGTAGAGAACCCTTCCCTTCCCTTCTATGAAAGGAAGATCCAAGGCATGGTTTTTCTGCAATTAGTTACTGGGCTTTTTCAAGTTCAAGGTTTACGAAGGCTTTAGATTGAAAGGAAGAGTTTCCAAAAGCTACATGAGGTCAAATGAAATATATGAGGAACAATGTTGAAAGTAAATAAGCAGTGATTATGAAAGGTCAAGCAAGGAAGACAAACAATTTTCTGCCCAACAGTGGAGAGTAGCTTACTCTTTAATAATGAAGTTATTAATCTCTAATGCAAGTAATTAATTACTTGTCTAATGCAGTATGTTTTTGAAGAGGGAAAAAAAGATGGCTAGAAAAAGAAGAGCAAAGAAAACAGCGTGAAGCTCACAGTGAAAAAGCGTAAGCTTTTGTGTTGCATGTCGAGGTTTAAAGACCAAAATAAATGTTTGTTGCAAATCTCAAAAGGCTTTGTATAGGCTATAATGCCATTTTCATATAAATGGTTTTAAATTTTTGTTATGTAAGGGCTATGAAAACAGGAACACCACCTAACACCCTTTATTGGCAGTAGCCCTTGGGGGGGCGGGGAAGATCTATTTAGTTTAGCAGTTGCAGATTTCGCTGAAACTTAGGTTTATATAACAAAACTGCTGACTTAATCCATACTTGATTGCCGAGTATCTTGTTCTCAAACATGACTTGGCTTCTTAAACCCTGAAACCACATGTCCGGTCTGATTTAAGCACATGCAGCTTCCTCCTCATATTTCCTCCTGTGTATATGCTGTGTTCGTTATCAAAGGGATTAACAGGAAATCAAACAAAGGAGTAATTTTTATTTCACAAGAAAGCATGTTCTGAAGCTGTGACTGTAGCTGTAGCTATTTCAAGCATCAGAACCCAATCCCTTCCACAGCAGTGGGGCATGGTATCCGTGAATCCCCCTAGGGCAGGGGTCTCCAACCTTGGCAGCTTTACGACTTGTGGACTTCAACTCCCAGAATTCCTCAGCCAGTGCATGCTGGCTGAGGAATTCTGGGGGTTGAAGTCCACAAGTCGTAAAGTTGCCAAGGTTGGAGACCGCTGCCCCTAAGAAACAACGGATGTCAGTGGATTCCTACAAGAAACAGCTAAACTCAAACACTCAGATTTCTCACCTCCTCTGAAGACCAAGTTTTCAAAAGAGTTAGGAGAATGTGCACAAAAGAGAGCTTATAGAAAACCTATACTGCAAGGTGTAACTTTACCTGGGAGGAACTTGACCCCAGGAAAGAGCTGTCTGTTTGGGTTTGGCTCAATAGACCTGGACACAGGCACTGCACTTTGAAAATCACGACTTAGGGCTTAATGAGTTGAATGAACATAGACAATTGCATTCAAACGACAGTGAAGCAGGTTCAGGTTAGTTATTTGGAGACATTTCCTGATGGTCAGGCCAGCCAAAGGGTGGAATAGGCTGCCTCACGAAATGGTATGTTCACTGAAAAGTCATCTGCTGAAATGCTTCAGAAGTTTCTGCACCAAGTGGAGAATTAGATTAGATGACCTTTCTAGTTGTTTTTATTCTTCTTTGCTCCTTTTGCTTTTTTCTTTCTTTCTTTGCTCCTTTTGCGCTTTGTTAGCTTTTGTTCTTTGTAAAAAATTTAATTAAAAATTTATTTATTTGAGAAGTTCTGTTTAGCACCCTCCCTGTTCTCAAAGCTAAGATGATCATGACTATGGCTGAAGACAGACTGGTCATGTGTGGGAAGTGAGAGCTCTTCTACAAGATATTCTACCTGGCTGAGGATCAAAAACACAAAGCAGAATTTGAAAAATGAACGGAGGTAAAGAACTAAACATATTTTCTCCTAATTCAAAAATAAATCCAAAAATCTTGTTATTTTAAATATTTTTAAAAAAACCATCAGACTTGTTTCCTAGATTATACAACTTGAAAATTTTCATTTACAACTTTGCACATTAGGGGTGTGCAATCCACTTGAAATTGAATTATGTTAACACAAAACATCTAATGCCAACCTCATAGGAAGCAATCTGATCTTGAAAGTCAAATAATGATGGCTCTTGACATATTACATGACAGCTTAGCCGGGGTATTAAATAAGTCGAATTATACAAGTCAGGTAACTGTATACCTGACAGTATACAGTTGTTAACTGTGAAAAGAATTTAAAATCCTAATCATATTTATCTTTTAAAAAATGAGGTATTGGGAGGAGGGAGGAACATAGGAGAAAGGTTTTAGAAATATAATACCTTTCCCAGAAGAGTTCCATGATACAAAATGTTCTAACTTCTGTTTGCTTCCTACACTTTCCTGAAATACTTCGAACTTTTGCAATATTCTAAATGTGGCAATATTAGATTTATCCTTTCGGAAAATTTAGGCTAGACAGCACCAGCTGCTTAAATCAGTGTCTCTCAACTTTGGCTGCTTGAAGATGCGTGGACTTCAACTCCCAGAATTCCCCAGCCAGCAAAGCTTCAAGCAGCCGAAGTTGAGAAACACTGGCTTAAAACATTCAGTAAAGTACACTTATGGGTTAAGTTTTGTTGACAGATTCTACATCAAGAGAAACGGCCTTGCAGCCTTTTGTAGAAGACAAGAATCTTCCCCATAAATCCCAGAACTGAAGGGGGAGGAGGGACAAAAACCTTTGAAGCTGTTATAACCCCCCGTCAAGGTGGAGATTACAGAATGTGAAGAATCCAGCCAAGGGCACTGCTGGCATCCAATCTGCCCCAGCAGCAATCTTGTGATTCATGCTTTACTGGGGCCCAAGGGCAGAAGCAGCTTTCGTTTGCATTAGCTTCATCTACTTGATAAAAGTTTGTGGGTAGTCTTCCTGTGATAAGGAGGCTCCCCATTACTGGATATTTTCCCACAGAACCAATGATACGACAGACGTCCTTTTTACAATAAGCAAGGGTGAAAATGTGTCAGCTTTGTTTTTCATTATTATCAGCCAAAAGATTCTGATTCACTTTCTTCTGTACTTTATCAGAGCCTGCAGCCTTATAGAAATGGGTGGGTTTTTTTTAACTTTCCCTGGTTGAGAAAAGATTGGGAGTGCCTTCCTCTATTTTTATCTCCAAACTTAATTTTACTGCATTCAACAATCAGCATCTCGAGTCTTCAAGCTCTTCCTTATTACGGCCATGTAGCCTTAGAATATTAATGTTGGCCCTCCTTTCCGTTCAACAGAAATCAGTTTGAACTACTGAAGAACTCCACAAGGCATTGTTAGCAGCCAAATTTGAGCAAACATCCAAATTAATTGTAACAGTTCATTTGTATCAAGATGTTAGGGTTCATCTACTTTTTAAGATACCTTTTCTGCAATTCCATTTTCTGTGGTATAGATTGCCATAAGTTCTGTGTCTTCTGTATCTTGATCACCACTTGAGGTTGCTCCTCCACTTATTACAGCCTAAAAAAATAATTATAATAATTAATAGTAATATTCTAAAATAATTACAGAGTATATAATATAATCTTGTATAACAGAATATTAATATTTTTAAACCAAAACACAGAACAACGTAAAGTACAGAAAATGTTTGAATTCACTGACTAGTTGGCGATGAGAAGTGTCAAGTCAAAAATAAAAAACTGATAATGCAAATTTTCCAAAATTACAGGCAAAGTGTCTGAACTTTTCTGTTATTTGGAGTGAAGAATTAGATTTTGTCTGTTGCACCCAAAGTTAACAGAATAGGGATTCTTAAAATCAAGATGTTTGTTATTGTAAAAAATATATTTAGAGAAACAATTGCAATACAACTACAATTATAACGTAGATTCTAAATTTGGCAAATAAAGAAATAATTCCAATATAATGTATTGTTTTTTAATTATATATAAAGTACTAAATATGCAGATATGTATCTATAGTAAACTTAGATTCTTTTTATCATGAACCTCATGTACCAAAGTATGGGGTTTTTTTATTGCATTACCTTAGTTTTTATATTATGCAAGTGCTTTATTTTAAATTCTTAAACACAATGCATAAATTTACACATTTATATCCTTGCCATTTTTAGCTGCTCTATTCCCTCAAGGATCTGAGTAGTGCATTTCTGTATCATTGCCATCTCTAGGATAATCTGTGGTGCAGCAACCAGGACTCAAATGACCTTCAATGAATTGTAGTCCTTCAAAGAAGCTTTGTAACATCCTTGGGGATAGCTGAAAGCAATCTTTTTAATCTCATTTAATGCATTCAGAGAGATAAGAGTATGGTCACTTGAGCCATCCAATTAGCCAACCCTATTGCATCAGTTTTCTGAACAAAATAAGTCATTCATAAGCCGTTGTCAAATTCATTTTATAAGCTTGGAATGGCTGTTCCTTTTAAGTCCTTTTGCTCAAAAATACACTCGGCTCTGGCCTTCAACAGATCTGATTTACCCAGACAGCTTTTATAACACTGTCCTCCTTCAGAACACAGCAATCAAAAGCTTGCAGAGGAAGCACCTGTCAGAAAGGGATTGTGACATCAGTGAGAAGCACATCACAAGACACTACTTCTCTATGCTGAACTCAAAAGCCTGCCATGTAAAAATGTATTTCCATGACTCACTTCTTGGAGAATTAGTGCTTAACCCAATATGACTTCTAAGGAAGACTACTAGAGATTTAGTAGTATTGTGACACACCGGCCTCACAATACTACTAAAAAACAAATTTCTAAACATGAACTTACTGGCAACGTAAAGAAAGCAGTGTGCTTGGCTTCATCCTCATACTTGGCCTCTGCTGGGTTTCCAGTTTCTACGGATTTTGAAGTAGTGTTTTTGCCAATCCCCATGGCTTTCCAAAATAGTCAGAAAACTGAATTGGTGACTAAGGTATATGGGCAGACGCGGAGTGTTCCGTAAGAAGGAAAGCACCAGAGAAGAGCCGTATCGGGGTCCTTTAGCCTTAGGTCCTGCACACCTTCTGTCCCTTTATGGTCCCTAGAAATGAAAAAAGATGAAAAGACATTTGCAAGCATTTCACAACCCTCACCATGAGTAAGGTCCTGTAATTGATGACTTACATCATGAATGTCATTCAATTATTAAGGTTTCCTTCCATAAGGTTAGTTAATGGCAATGTCCTCCCAAATTATTTTGGTGATACCAATTGATTGATATTGACAACTTGATTGTGCCATCAAGTTGTTTTCAACTGATACGGTAGATATCTATAAGGCAGGGGTGTCAAACTCATGTTGTCATGGCAGCATCATGTGATGTATTGGAACACCACCCCCCCCTTTCGTTAAAGACTTTTTCTGTAAAGGGACAGAGCTCACCCTTCTACCTCTGAAGCAGTGGCTGGCAAGTCCACAAGCCAAGGCCACCCCTGCCCAAACTGCCCCGTCCCCACCCACCCCTCAGCTTGAGTGAGGCTTGGGCCTTGGTTCAAGTTAATGAATTCTTAGTTTTCAGATTAATAGGAGTTCTGTATGAAGAAAGCAGGGAATGAGTCTGAGAATTAGATCAGATCAGAAACCCATAAAGCAGTATTTCTCAACCTTGGTAGCTTGAAGATGGGTGGGCTTCAACTCCCAGAATCCCCCAGCCAGTGCTGCTGGCTGGGGGATTCTGGGAGTTGAAGTCCACCCATCTTCAAGCTTCCAAGGTTGAGAAACACTGCCATAAAGGCTAGACAGAACTCTACGTATACAATTTTAATCTTCTTAAGGGTACATAAGTATCTCCTGTCATAAAACAGCAGTTCAATCAAGAATTGATTTCTCATCCTTTGGTTGCAAGACTTTGCCCTTTCGCCCAGCTGAAGCAGCCAGTCATACCAAATCAGCCCCATGCTTCGTTTCCCTCCGACGGGGAACAATGACTATTAAAAATCTATTACTTGTTCTGAAATTCCATCCGAAAGATAGATGAAGTGAAAGCAGCTAACAAAAGCAGGAGTACAGGTCAGAACAAATCACGAAGCCAAAAAGAGCAAGGGGAAAAAAATGTTCCATTTAAAAAAACACAATAAGGGTGATTTATTATAAAAGGCAATCAAGAGAATAAACCTGTTTATTTGGAGAAATTGGAAAATTAGTCCATGGCACTTTCAGGTAATTTTCCAACAGAAAAAAAAAAACAGTGAATAGCCCTGCAATTAGAAATAAATCCCTGGACAAGCTCACACAAATTCTTTAGCAAACTAAGAATGTACTTTCCCTTCTTCCAAAAAAAAAAAAAAAAAATACCTAGAAAGACTAAAAGGCACATTTAGAAGCAAGAAACAGGCAGAAAGTAGTTAGGAAATGCTCCTTCTATAATACATAATGTTTGTTCTGCAAAGTCAGAGCAGCCCTTCATGGGAACGCAAAGAGGAAAAAATGTGATTCAAGTATCTGCTTAGTCATAATGACAAAGCTCATCGCACGCTATTTTAAAAAGACTTTCACTAGTGAAACAACCGAGTAAATCACAAGTTTACACACCAGGCCAAAAGTAAAGAAATCACATGGCAGCTAAGAGAATGAGTGAGCCCCCCCCCCCAATATCTTGGGACTGTGCCAACTTTTGGGATCTTGGTGCCCCCCACCAACCCACACATACCCAGAGACCTTTTTTCCCAAAGCCACATGTTGAGTTCACACAGCAAGGAGCACCTCTCTCAAGCCTGGAATTTCATTGTTGGTCAGCTTACAGATTTGCAAATTGTGAAGCCCTACAGTAAGGGACACCATTAAGTTCTCACAATAGAATCACTCCAACTGAATTGTCACCCCTAGGACAGTTCTAATAGAAATTCATGTGGACAAGGTAAACTTTTACTTCTTGTTTCTAAAATAGCAGAAAGTTTGTGCAACCATAGAAACATCTAGCTTAGGGATTTAATTTTACTGAACCGTTAGCAAAAAAAAAAAATAATAATCCGGAACATTATCCTCCCAATTTTTTGCATGAGAAGAGATGGGAGGGAAAGGGGGACAGAAAACAGTTGGGATTAACGTAATAAAACCGAGGTGGCTGCCAGCAGAGCAAGCAAAGAGGTTAAGAAAAACCGGCATCAGTATCAAAAGAGGTTTAGCTTGGCCAACAAACCAGATTCCGTTTGAAAGGTCTTCACAGAATGTCCCGATTAGCAAAACAAAAGCCCTCTGAAGTATTCTGAACAAGCCAAGCAGATAATTTGCGCAGGATGAAAAGACTGCCAGAACTTAATTCTGCACAACCAAAAAGTCTTTCATTTTCTCCCAAAATGATTACTTCGAAGAGTTGAAACTTGGAACGTGGGTCAACCCAAATTGTCCTTTCGGTCCCGGTGCCTTCGTTTTGAGAAGCCCATGCAGAGATGGTTACAACAAAATTTCCTATCAAGGTTAACTGTCAAAAGAGGGGATTTCGGAGCCTCAGATTTTCCATTAAAAAAAAAAAAAAGGACAGCACTGTCTTGTCAAGCCCGAAGAAGCAAGAAGGAAGATAATTCTAACACTAATCTGGGTTATATAGAATATTGACCTCAATAAGAATAATTTCTCAGCCTTGTTTATAGTAAACTAATTAAGATGGAGTCTGTTTGAAATGCTTTTTCTTATATTTGCCGAGATCAACGTTCAGACTCCGTTCCTTCTGCTTTCCCACTGGCTGAGGAGGGCAAGACAAGTGACGGAAGTCTTACAATAATCCGGAGTTGATTTTTTTTTTCCTGGAAGGGCAGGCACGATTGGTCTGAGGAACATGCGAGAAGCCACAATCCAAAAAGATAATGATGGGACCTGGACAAAAAGAGACCACCTTGATTTCTATGGCGATTCTTCCATCATCCAGGTTGTCCCAAAGGTGCTTTCCCCACCCACCCTCCAAGAGGCAGCTGGATTTTTCTTGTTTTTTCTTTGAAGACGTTTTGCTTCTCCTCCAAGAAGCTTCTTCAGCTCGGACTAGATGGTGGGGAATGGAAGGGTTTATATTCCTTGCAGACAGCTGGTCCTTTGCATCCTTTTAGAGGGTCGTTGAGACACTTGGGAGGTTTATCTGTGTCCTCAGGGCCACCTGAGTAGTGCAAATGACTACAGGAACCATTTGCACTACTCAGGTAGAAAACAGAAAGAGGGGCTTACGCTAACCCCACCTCACCCCATTTTTCCCAGCTGTTCTGTCTGTGTTCTGTGATTTGTCCCAATCTTCTCCAGAATGCACCAGTGCCCCTTTTGTTCCAAGAGAGTCATACAAGTGAAAAGAAAAGGAAGGGCAGGGGCTCCCATTAAAACTATTCTGATGTGATTTTCAATTTCAACAGTCTACTTCTGATTTGTAAAATCAGGAAAATGGGTTTCTTTTTTACCAGTGGCCCCTGATTCAGCTATGACAGTCCGAACCTCAGGTAATATGTTTACGCTATTAATTCGAAGAATAATGAAATATTCCCTGTGGATGTTTATTTCCTTCTGGGTTTTTTTAAATTCCTTCATTGCTTCACCTTTTTTAAATAGGGTATTCTCTACCTATGCCATCTTTAAGGGGACATTCCTATGTAGCTTGTCAGTGGCTTTATATGTGCTTGTTTGTGGTAAGTATTTTTACATTCTGCCCTTAAGCTAGTTATTAAAAACATTAGCAAAACAAACTATTCAAATGCAATTAAACTGCCAAGTAATCTGCATGATTTGTCATGACTTTACTAAAACAAAAGGGAAAGATTAACTGACTTGCAATTCAAAGGTCTTCTTAAACAGAAATACAGACTGAATATGACATCCAAAAGAATATTATGTGAATGTCCCAAACCAGGAATTTACCGAGAGGGTCTCCAAATCAACAGGCCCCCTTCCACTGTTGACTGTGCATCAAGAACCCTGAGAGGTCAGGATCAGTCCAGAACACAAGACAGAAACTTACTCCCAAACGGAGGAGCAGGAGATCAAATCAGGACTCACTGGTGGAAAAATATCACTTATGTAAGCTGTATGAAACCATTTCACTCCAAGGCAAAGACATTGAAAATGGTCCCTTAAACCAAGCAACATTCCAAGAATCAGAATTCTGTAACGGCTCACTATAACAATATCCCAGATGAGGCGATCAATCAACTATCAAAAGAATCTTTTTTTTTTTTAATTTTGCCCCTTTGTTATATTGTAAATCTTCCATGTCCTGTGTTCAAATCTTCCTTCCCTTTTTTTTCCTCAACTGTTCTTGGCATCGTACTTCAAATTTCCCGCATCAGTTAGTCAGTCTTCATTTTCTGTCCGTTTCAGTTCACCTAAGTACTTCCTCTGCCGGATGCACTGTTCCTCAATGAGTGCTATCTGATTTATTTTTTTACATTTAGATCCTTCGCCCTTCCTGCAGCTCAAGGCAATTTTCCTGGGGATCCTTCTTCCCTTTGATCCCCATGACAGCAGCCTTGTGCGCTGGCTTAGGTTGAGAGAGAGCGACTGTCCCAAAACCACCCCATCGGTTTCTATGCCTGACGGTAGATCTGACCTTGAGTTTCCTCAGTCCTACTCAAAGATGTCGCGCTTTCTTAAGATTATGGAAGCTGCAATCTGGCAGGGCAGACAAAGATGATTCAGAACCTCCAAAACATGTCCTACCCGTTAATGGTTAACTTTAATATTTAATACCGGTAGGAGAATCGCTATAGCCCAGTGGACCTAGCACAGGTTCAAGTCCCCTGCCAGCCACAGAAGCTTCCTGGGGATTTTGGCCCAGATGCTCTTTCTCAGCCCAAGCTACTTCCTGAAGTGTTGTAGGGAGAAACCAGAGGAGGATGTACTTACATTTGTCACTATTAGCTCTGGAAAGAAAACCAGCATTGAAATCTAATAAATAAATCCCGTAATATGGATAGCAAAGCTGAGGCTGAAAAATTTGCCAAAGCAGATTTTTAAAATCAGAGATTGTTCTGATCTGTAAAGCTATGTCATTACAAGAATCTTACAAGGTATTTATAAATATATATATATATATATGATACTGATTCATCTCAAAATGCTAAAGTACAC